ACATCCTTGGAGAGCTCTTTGGTCTTGGCCATGGTGGAGAGTTTGGAATCTGATTGATTGATTGCTTCTATGGACAGGTGTCTTTTATACAGGTAACAAACTGAGATTAGGAGCACTCCCTTTAAGAGTGTGCTCCTAATCTCAGCTCGTTACCTGTATAAAAGACACCTGGGAGCCAGAAATCTTTCTGATTGAGAGGGGGTCAAATACTTATTTCCCTCATTAAAATGCAAATCAATTTATACAATTTTTGACATGAGTTTTTCTGTATTTTTTTTGTTATTCTGTCTCTCACTGTTCAAATAAACCTACTATTAAAATTATAGACTGATCATTTCTTTGTCAGTGGGCAAACGTTGTCACACCCTGGCTCTGGGGACTCTTATATGTTGAGCCAGGGTGTGTAGGTTTCATTGTTTAGTTTTCTAGGTTTGTGTTCTAGTTCGTGTATTTCTATGTTGGCCAGGGTGGTTCCCTATCAGAGACAGCTGTAGCTCGTTGTCTCTGATTGGGGACCATACTTAGGCAGCCGGTTTGGCACTGTTTATTGTGGGATCTTGTTCCGTAAGGTTTGTGTTATGACCTAGGACTTCACGTATCGTTTGTTGTTTTTGTTCGTGAGTGTACTTAATAAAGTATGTACACCTATCACGCTGCGCCTTGGTCCGCTTCCTGTAACGATCGTGACAGAAGATCCCACCACGACTGGATCAAGCAGTGTGAGGAGGAGAGAGGATGGACTTGGGAGGAGAAGAGTGAGAGTCTGGCGAGAGCCATGGAGGCCATGTTCACGGGGGATAGACAAGCCCAAAACACTTTTTTGGGGGGGCTCACGCCGTGGACGACGAGGCAGCGGGAGGCCGCGATAGAGCGGTTCAGCAGGATAACAGAGGAGGCCACCAGGTTATGGGGGCCACTGGTCACGAGGGAGAAGGAGAGTGTGGAGGCACGGCGAGAGGAACTGGTTAGGCAGCAGAGGGAGCGGAGATTTATGAGGAAGTGGTGCACGTCGTCAGCCCGGTCCGGCCTGTTCCTGCACCCCGCACCAAGCCAATGGTGCGCGTCGCCAGCCCGGTCCGGCCTGTTCCTGCTCCCCGCACCAAGCCAGTGGTGCGCGTCGCCAGCCCGGTCCGGCCCGTTCCTGCTCCCGCACCAGGCCAGTGGTGCGCGTCGCCAGCCCGGTGCGGTCTGTTCCTGCTCCCCGCACCAAGCCAGTGGTGCGCGTCGTCAGCCCGGTCCGGCCCGTTCCTGCTCCCCGTACCAAGCCAGTGGTGCGCATCGCCAGCCCGTTCCGGCCCGTTCCTTCTCCCCGCACCAAGCCAGTGGTGCGCGTCGTCAGTCCGGCACGGTCCGTGCCTGTTCCACCGGTGCCTGGTCCGGCACCGGTCAGCTGCTCCACATCGGAGCTAGAGCAATCCGCTCCACCGGTGTCCAGTCCAGCTCCGGCCAGCGGGGCCAGATCAGACCAGGGGCGCTACGGGTGGGTAGAGATAAAGTGGTGGTCACGCCCGGAGCCGGATCCGCCTCCGAGGCGGAATGCCCACCCGGCCCCTACCCTGTTGTGGTGTTGTGGCGCGGTCACAGTCCGCGCCTTGGGGGGGGGGGGGGGGGGGGGGGGGGGGGGTACTCTCACGCCCTGGCTCTGGGGACTCTTATATGTTGAGCCAGGGTGTGTAGGTTTCATTGTTTAGTTTTCTAGGTTTGTGTTCTAGTTCGTGTATTTCTATGTTGGCCAGGGTGGTTCCCAATCAGAGACAGCTGTAGCTCGTTGTCTCTGATTGGGGACAATACTTAGGCAGCCTGTTTGGCACTGTTTATTGTGGGATCTTGTTCCGTAAGGTTTGTGTTATGACCTAGGACTTCACGTATCGTTTGTTGTTTTTGTTCGTGAGTGTACTTAATAAAGTATGTACGCCTATCACGCTGCGCCTTGGTCCGCTTCCTGTAACGATCGTGACAAACGTACAAAATCACTAGGGGACGAAATACTTTTTTCCCTCACTGTATATGAGACTGGTTTAACCTTTCACGATTACCTCACACACTCACAGACACATACAAGAACATACCCTTTCCAGCTTTCAAAATGGCTGTCTTTGTCTTGTTGTCCCTCTATCTTGCCTGGGTTAAACATACTCTTGCATCATGGCATGGATGCCATGGCAACCATACTTTCTCCTGCTCCCGAGCAGCGCTCCAGCCCTTTTCTCTCCATCCCCTCTCTATTTCTTTCTTTCTCTCTCCCTCCCTCGCCCTTTTTGCTGAATGAACAACACAATCAATAATTTCCTCTATACACATTTATTTCATCCATGACTTTACAAATCTTTATCATGAACAATGTTTTGTTAATTCATCATTATACACTCCTACGCTAAATTATTTGCTAATTTTCCTAAAAGTGAATCAAATGAAAGCAACAAAAACAATAAACGAAAATGGAGGCAAAAAGCCCTAAAAAAAACTTGGGACACATGGAGTGATTCAAATCGGTTGCCTCTTACTGAAAAGGCATGACAAATGTACTGTCAAACCGATATGGGATGATTCACAATTCCCACACACAATCACACATAGAAGTGATTTGCCTATGAAAGAAAGAGTCAGCATAAAGATGAATATGTAATCATGTAGATGTGTGGAGCAATGGGCACATTGGGTCCTGGATCAGTATGGCAACACAGAGCTCCTGGCCAGAGACATATGCATTCATCACCCTCGATCCCACACACAATCACACAAGTTATTGTTACTCATTGTGTATTTATTTTTGTGTTATTATTTTGATATTATTTCTTATCTTTTTTCTCTGCATTGTTGGGAAGGGCATGTAAGCAATCATTTCACTGTTAATCTACACCTGTTGTTTACAAAGCATGTGACAAATACAATTTTATTTTATTTGATCCCTCCATCACATAAAAGGGAAAGCCACAGAAACAAGATGGCCTCTGCTCCTTTGTTACAAAGGAACCCAGAGAATTACAATCCAGTGTTGTTCTTGGAGTTCTACTGTTCTGCCCATTACTGTAATATCTGTGTGTCCTGATCATTTGTAATCGTTTAGTCAGTGAGGGAGGCAGTCACTCCTCAGGATTGTAGATTGGTTTTTATGTTGGCAGTTAACAACTTTTATTAGGTGCCAGGGCCGTGCACAGACCTTTGATGGGGCAGGTGCTCAAAGTGAGAGAAAAAAATCGACCTTAATTCCATTCATACGTTTCTACTGCTCCTGTAGCCAGATTCACCTTCTTTTTTTTAACCAAAAAAACCCAGAAAGGGAGTTAGAAAGAACCACTACTTCTTTGCTAGCCTAGAACCACTCCTGGGGTTGGTAGGCTATATCATCTGATCATCGCTAATGTACACTCTTAGAAGTAAAGGTGTCTGGAAGAACCTTTTGGGTTGCCACACCGGCAGAACCGTTCTATCTGAAAAGGGTCTTATGTTAACCCTTGTTTTAACAAAGGTTCAAACCAGAACCTTTTTGTGATGGGGGGTGGGGGGGGGGTTCAATTATTATTTTAATAATATATTGTAGAGGTGGAAACCTATCAGATTGGAGGCATGGCTTATTGGAGGCGTGGCTTTCAGATAGTTACTTTGGGTCACCCGTTAGCGTAAATGTAATTCCTGTTCATCATGTTAAGTTTGTACACTGCAAATTCCTTGAATATTTTTGCATCTTACATATTCTACTATAATATTAGAAGAGGTGAGAAGCTTGTGCATGTGATGAGGACAAGCGCTGCAATGCACTGTTGCGGTGGCAGAGGACTTTCTTTCAAGATTAATGAGTTCATGAGAAATGATCTAGTTTTATGCAATGCATTGAATTTAAAGTTACAAGAGACAAAATAAACTCGTTTTTAAAAACACCACCAATCAAAAGGACACATTTTTCATAGGAGGGCAAAAGGGTAGGAGCTCCAGCACTCCTAGGGCTCTATATGTTAGGTGCCATTGGATGCTATTCATCACAGTTTAATGCATTACTACACAATGCTAGATCATTGTAGACTGCACGCTTCTGTCAATATAGTATGAAGTGAATTATAGGGTAAAATACATGTGAACCCGAACATCCAAATCTGACCATTGCTACTATTTTCAGAAAGTTGTTGATATTACATACAATCCTATGCGCTATTCAACATGATTTAATTATGTATACAGACCATGTTAATTGACATCATAATAAAGGTATTTAAAATGCACAGTCTTGAATACTATACATGAAGTTGATTCATACAATATCCACTCTGACTACTGCAAATGTTCTATCACAACTGAACACCTCCTTAGATTCTGCATTTGATTAAATAACTCAAATATGGCAGCTTTTCTTTAGTCATTAAAGGGCATGTGCATGCCAAAAAGACGATTGACAACTATTTCTACGTCATTTGGAAAACACACATATAGTATTTACATAAGCAAAAAAAAATAAAAAAATCGAAACTGCATAAATTAAAATAGTAACATTGTGTTTTCTTGTAAAAACAAAATAAAACCCCAATCCACAGGAAACAAGTGAAATATACACAAGGTTAATATCGGAAAAAAATGTGAGGGATTGATAACGACATCAGTGTGCCACAACATCACACATTTACCCATCATCAGAAACAATATGAATCCCATGAACATCGAGCCAAATGATCCACCCATGTCTGTTTAGTTTTCACATTTCTGTGAGTGTGCGGGTGTATGTGTCTATTTTCCAACCGAATGCCTCAAAAGCTTTGAGTGACACAGTATCAACAATGTCCTTCAAATCTGAATCCCCTATTGAACTTGGAGGGCATCCAAGCTCCCCATCCCCCACCGTTAAAATCTTCCACCCACATCCCTGTGCCTTTATGAAGCCACTTTAACTCTCCCCACATACAAACACATATACAGACATACATATACAAACAAATACTCACCGCACACGCACATACACACACACAAACACCTGCAACATCTCCATTCAGAGCCCAGCATACATCAGGCTTTAGAGCAGGCTTGTCATTGTCAACCTCCAGTCATCCAGGGTCACAGGGTCTGCAGGGTTTCACTTCAACCTGGCACTCAATTGATTAATTAATGTTACCGATTGTCTAGAGAAGCCAGACTGATTTTCTCAGATTTAGATTAGACCCTGATTGAAAGGCAGGGGTGAATATCAACAGGTGTGTATTTCTGTGTCTCTCCAGAAGCCTGGGTTTACACCCCTGCTGTAGAAACTCAGTCCAAACCCTGGGTCTGGAAACTATCCAATTCTAACCACCCTGACATAGGATGGTATAAAGCATCATTCTGCTCCTCTTGGTTTTAATGGTCTATCTAGCCCATCTGACAGACAAGCAAAGGGTCGTTCCAGTTTCAGGTGTTGTACCTTAGTAACAAGTAGGTGGGACAAACCACCCATGCTCACCAGAATAAAACAACAAACAGAATCAATAGAGCATTAAACACCCATTCCATTTTAAAAAGCCCCCACCCCAACCCCAGCTGGCATGTTCAGTGTGTCTGTCTGCTTGGTACCAGGCCAAAGTCTCTCTCTCTCTCTCTCGGATGATGAGAGTCTAGAGCGAACTGCTCTCTCGCGCGAGAGAGCAGAAAGCGAGAAGAGAGAGAGCGAGTATCATAGAGCTATATCTCGAGCGGCTATCTATAGATCTTCTCCTTCTTCTCTCTCTACTCTCCTCGCTCTATCTCTTCTCTCTCTCCTCTCTCTCTCGCTCTCGCTCTCTCTCTCTCTCTCTCTCTCTCATCTCTCTCTCTCTACTCTCTCTCTCTCTCACGCTAGCTGTTCTTTCTCTGGGGACTCCTCCAGTGTGATGGCGGTGAACTCCTCTGTGTTTCCGTTTTCCTGGATCTTCTCTTTATTCATCAGGGTCACCATCTCCTGCTCTCTCTCCTGGGCGCGGGAGCTAGCCACTGACGCCGCCGCACCGTTACCCTCATTCCCATCCTTGTTGGTGATCATCAGGGTCTGCTGCTGACTGCACCAGCTAACAGACAGAGAGAGGGAGCAGTGCACACATTAGGATGCTGTTACCAGCTAACAGAGAGATAGAGCGAGAGAGAGAGAGAGAGAGAGAGAGAGAGAGAGAGAGAGAGAGAGAGAGAGAGAGAGAGAGAGAGGAGAGAGAGGGAGAGAGGGAGAGAGAGAAAGAAAGAGAGAGAGAGAGAAATGTACACAGTCTTCATTAATTTTCGACCAGAATTCGGACTGGTGAAGTGAGACCTACCTCTTACGCTTGACCACAACAACACACACAAGCAGAATAGCAACCAGTGCCACAAGCACTCCCAAAAGGATCAGCCAACCTGCACAGAGGAACATAATGAGAAACGTTGAATGACGTGTAGCAAATACCTCTTCATGTGTACCCTTACACAATGTAAAGTGCTTTGAAAAGCGCTATACAAATTGAATTATTTTCCATTAATCGATTAAACCATATAATCCATTATAATGACATAAAAAAGTATTACACGGATCACTAATGTCATGTACAATAATACTATTATTACTACTAGTAGAGCAGGGATGGTTAATTTTGATGGGGGGGGTGGGGGGTCACAAAAGATCTGAACTCATCATGAGGGGCCGCAGTTGTGCCGCCACCGCCACCGCCAACCCCCACCCGCAACCCGCCAACCCGCCAACCCCCCATTACTCATTTTATCATGGCGGAGAGGAAAGTGAGCAGCAAATTTCCTGCAATTCTACACATTTCGCCATAGGGTGGAGAGAAATGTTTGCAGTTTTTAATATGATATCTGAGTGAGAATGACTAACAAAATCAATGGGGGCCCCACAGGCGGAAATTCGACCTCAATAACTACAAGTTTAGATAGCTGGCCGCTAGACTAATTTACCAATGTAAAAAATACCAATCTAAACAATTTTAGCTGACATGGGCTAATTGAGTGACTATCAGTGACCGACATAACAAGAGGAAAACTGCTAATGCACAACCCACATTTTGAAATTGCACCTTGTGTGTGCTACTATTCAAACTGGCAACAGTAAGTTGAGACCCGGACTGAGTAAAAAAAATTAATATGAGGGCCTTCAAAAGGTGGGCCGCGGGCCGCATGCCCATCCATGTTGTACCGTTATTAGGGGTTATGGGCCACTCACTGGGTGTGCTACTTTTCTCCTGCCCAGCTGGAGTAGGGGCTGCTCCCATACCTGGATTCATCCTCCCATTAGGAATGGTCTGCATAGAGGCTTTATGGGGATAACAGGGAGAGACAGTGTTAAACAAACATCTCTAATGCCTTACAAATGGTTTACACATAGATGCCAACTGGAGTAATCATGTGATGAATATAATCATGTGATGACCAGGAATCATGTGCTACTACAGGGCAGATTTGTTTTAGCTGTGGAATGCACGGAACATACTAAGGAACACGGAACTGTTCCTTTGGGGTAGAGTTGGCACCTGAGAGTGAATGCCAACATTTAATTGAAAAGTGATTAATCTATGTAACCCAGAAGTAAAATCTTGTATAATTTGGTCACCTGCGTGAATCTGCCCATGGAATATTATAAAGTTATTTATGAATTATTGCTGAGTAAGTGACATTGTGCCAAGTGTAATAAAGAGAGCAATGTAGTAAACTCCCCATAACTTTAACCAGTCACAGAACAGGTAGTGATTGTTTAGCTGTGATTCTCTCTCATAGGGTAAATCAATGCCACCCTATTCCTCACATAGGGCTCTGGTGGAAAGTAGTGCACAATTTGGGTGAATGGGGTGATATTCCCCATATAAATAGCCCTACGTCCTCTATCGGATCAACCCCCATGTCCACCCTTCCTACTGTCTTCCTCTCTCCCACTTATAAACTGTCTCAGAATACAGGAAAAAAATATATAATAAGAATCCAATCATGTGATACATAATAAAAGCTAGTGAGCCAGAAGATGTTATTTTATAACCCAACCTGGGTTTCACTATTCAGGACTAATACAGTGGGGAGAACAATTATTTGATACACTGCCGATTTTGCAGGTTTTCCTACTTACAAAGCATGTAGAGGTCTGTAATTTTTATCATAGGTACACTTCAACTGTGAGAGACGGAATCTAAAAATCCAGAAAATCACATTGTATGATTTTTAAGTAATTAATTTTCATTTTATTGCATGACATAAGTATTTGATACATCAGAAAAGCAGAACTTAATATTTGGTACATAAACCTTTGTTTGCAATTACAGAGATCATATGTTTCCTGTAGGTCTTGACCAGGTTTGCACACACTGCAGCAGGGATTTTGGCCCACTCCTCCATACAGACCTTCTCCAGATCCTTCAGGTTTCGGGGCTGTCGCTGGGCAATACGGACTTTCAGCTCCCTCCAAAGATTTTCTATTGGGTTCAGGTCTGGAGACTGGCTAGGCCACTCCAGGACCTTGAGATGCTTCTTACGGAGCCACTCCTTAGTTGCCCTGGCTGTGTGTTTCGGGTCATTGTCATGCTGGAAGACCCAGCCACGACCCATCTTCAATGCTCTTACTGAGGGAAGGAGGTTGTTGGCCAAGATCTCGCGATACATGGCCCCATCCATCCTCCCCTCAATACGGTGCAGTCGTCCTGTCCCCTTTGCAGAAAAGCATCCCCAAAGAATGATGTTTCCACCTCCATGCTTCACGGTTGGGATGGTGTTCTTGGGGTTGTACTCATCCTTCTTCTTCCTCCAAACACGGCGAGTGGAGTTTAGACCAAAAAGCTCTATTTTTGTCTCATCAGACCACATGACCTTCTCCCATTCCTTCTCTGGATCATCCAGATGGTCATTGGCAAACTTCAGACGGGCCTGGCCATGCGCTGGCTTGAGCAGGGGGACCTTGCGTGCGCTGCAGGATTTTAATCCATGACGGCATAGTGTGTTACTAATGGTTTTCTTTGAGACTGTGGTCCCAGCTCTCTTCAGGTCATTGACCAGGTCCTGCCGTGTAATTCTGGGCTGATCCCTCACCTTCCTCATGATCATTGATGCCCCATGAGGTGAGATCTTGCATGGAGCCCCAGACCGAGGGTGATTGACCGTCATCTTGAACTTCTTCCATTTTCTAATAATTGCGCCAACAGTTGTTGCCTTCTCACCAAGCTGCTTGCCTATTGTCCTGTAGCCCATCCCAGCCTTGTGCAGGTCTACAATTGAATCCCTGATGTCCTTACACAGCTCTCTGGTCTTGGCCATTGTGGAGAGGTTGGAGTGTGTTTGATTGAGTGTTTGGACAGGTATCTTTTATACAGGTAACGAGTTCAAACAGGTGCAGTTAATACAGGTAATGAGTGGAGAACAGGAGGGCTTCATAAAGAAAAACTAACAGGTCTGTGAGAGCCGGAATTCTTACTGGTTGGTAGGTGATCAAATACTTATGTCATGCAATTAAATGCAAATGTATTACTTAAAAATCATACAATGTGATTTTCTGGATTTTTGTTTTAAATTCCGTCTCTCACAGTTGAAGTGTACCTATGATAAAAATTACAGACCTCTACATGCTTTGTAAGTAGGAAAACCTGCAAAATTGACAGTGTATCAAATACTTGTTCTCCCCACTGTATATAGCTCAGTGGTGCACAGCAGTACCATAAATGTTTTATATTAAACCATTTATGCAGAGAGGTCATGTAAAGCATTTCGAATTTGAACCAGTGCAGATGCAGAATTGTAAGAAGAGTCATTCTGTGGCACTGTCAGTAGTGTAGCAGTGCTCCTCTCTTCCTCCCTCATCTGGTAACAACAGGGGGAGCCCTCTTCAAACAAACTCCACAGAGGACACACACAGAACGACAAACTTTCAAGTCTGTGTGGAGTATGTTTTCATGAATGGTGGTGAATCGGAGTGTAATCAAAATAAAAGCTTTACCTTTTGGATTTTAGCTTCTTATTTCAGCAACCAGAGCTGACTATGCAAATGCAAATGATTCCTTGCACTTGAAAATGTTTCTATAAAGTGGGATATAGCTTTTATAACTATTACCAGATGTCTTATATAACACTAAATGTACAAAGATAGTGAGCTACAAACATCAGTGGAAATTGAAGTGAGGGTTCTGAGTTTTAATCCACAATCTTTTTTACACCCCAACACCAGGGGGCAAGGTTAGTTCTCTAACTTTCCAGAGTCGGACCAAACTTTGTTTTGTGTGTGTGGTAGGTCATCTGTTTCAAGAATCCTTCTCAAGTTCTCAGAGACAGTACTTCCCAAAAATTTTAGAGATAGTTCTTAATGTCAAAAGGTCATTCAGTTTTAACAGGTAAATATGGTGTTAGTTATGCTCTTCACTTTTTGAATATAAACTTTTAACAGTCAGAGAAGACTGTATTAGAGATTGCATGAGAATGCGTCTTGACATAAGTTTTGAGGAGAATGACGCACATGCAGATGTATATTTAGAGATTCATATGACTAAATGAATCACCTTCAAAGCACTAAATGTTTGAGTCGCCTTGGAAACAGTACAGAAGTACAGTATGGACAGAGAAGAGTAGTGATATTATATAGTGATGTGTTTTAGTGATTCTGGCTGGACTCTGCCAGTTATTACATGGCATTGATTAATGATACGACTGTTCCGTCCAGTCCAACTGAAGATGTTCAGTTGATACATCTTTAAAAGTGTTGTACAACTTTTAGGATAATTTTTTATTATAGATTCATGTTATAGTATTAAAGGTTTCATCATGGAGATTTGTCAATGTTTTTGAAGGTGATTTTATTTTTGTAAAAAAAAAAAGGCTGCAAAATATATTTATGGGAGGCTAAACATGATATTGGATATAAACATAGAGTGTGTCTTTAGTTTAGGCTTCCTAACAACAGCCCACCACATTTCTCTCTCTGTGGTGTCACCAGGTGTCTAAAGAGGAACAAGGTATTCACACAAACCACACTGCTTTTTTAGGCTCAGGGGAAGCTTTGTGGTGGTGAGCTGTCATCCTGTCACAGCAATCCTATGACAAACACGTGTTTTATAGATTTTATGTTTTACTGTTCTGACATGAGAGATGATTTACTTGAAATGTATTTGTATTTTAAAGTGTGCTCTTTGAATTAAATAAATTGTCATCATTTTCTTCAAGATACCAAACTGAACAACAAAGCAAAAAACAGCATTCTGTATGTAATATTATGTATGTTACAAACAGAGTCTTTCCTTACCTTCTACTTCCACCTCGTTCTCCTGTACATCCTCCTCGCTGGCCGGGCCCTGTGGTTCTTCTGGCTCTTTAACAGGTGGTGCCATAGAAGAGGCCCCCTGCTCCTCTGAGCCAGTAGGCAGCATCCCAGACCCAGTGTTCATTTCCATCTCATTGACCTCCACCTCAGGTTGCTTAGTGGGGCTGGCTGCCTGGGTCTCATCTCCCTCAGCCTGCTCTTCCTCCCCGGCAGGGCTCTCTGTGGCTGCCCCCTCTGAAGCATCACCCTCAGCCACTGCTGCTGCCTCCTCTGAGCTGGCCTCTGTGGGTGCAGGCTGGGCTGTGCCCACTTCTTCCAGTAACTCAGTGGTGCTCTCGGCTCTCTCTTCCCCAGGGGCGGAGGTGGTGTTCTGGGAGTCAGGCTTGAGGTTGACGCGGGCCTCAGGCTGGGCTCCATCCTCTGGGGCTGTCTCTGTGGCCTCTGGCTTTCTCTGGTCCTGGTCCTTCACCACTGCTGTGGTGTCTGGTTCTGATACTTTAGACATACAATTGTTCACAAAACAAGAAACATCCTTCTTTCACTCGTTCCATGAGGTTATCCCAGATCTGTCAAGGTTGGATTGGTGAAAGCAATGGGATGGTAGCCATGCTTTCACCTGTCCAATCACATATAGATCAGTGATTAGCATAAAGGAATGGAGAAGTGAAGGAAGTGAGTGGAGACTAGAGTGACAGCCATGTACTTGACATAGAGATAAATAGCCTATCAGGTGTGAGATTGATAACTTTTGTTTGTGTCTGACAAGTCTGCCTGGCCTGTGACACTGTCCCAGTGGATATCATCACAGTGATAAGGGATATCACGGCTATCTTTTGACAGCCATTATGTCACCCATGACATAATTTACTGTAATGTTTCTGTAGAAAATGAAGACATTGAAGATCCCATTACCAATTAGTCATATCATATAAAATATGTTGAGATAGGAATCATATCTATTTCCCTTTTTACCTTTCAAGACTGAGCTTCTATTGTGTAATACGTTTGTATGACCTTCGTCATATGTACACTACATATGACAGTGACATCCAGTACAGTGCGTGGTAAATGTGTAATGTCCCATAGTTGAACTTTGCTCCATGGAACTCCTCCGTCCTACAGTAGATAAGAGGAACATGTGAAGACATGTACAGTACACAGTGGTGGAAAAATAATCCAATTGTCATACTTGATTAATAGTAACGATACCTGTAATGTAATCCATTTTAGAATAAGGCTGTAACGTAACAAAATGTGGAAAAAGTCAAGGGGCCTAAATACTTTCCGAATGCACTGTATGTGTTATGGCTTTTCAACCTCTGCCATATCGTGGATTCAGAGCTATCTATCTAATAGATCTCAGAGGGTTTTCTTTAACGCAAGTTTCTCTAATGTCAAACAAGTGTGGTGTACCGCAGGGCAGCTCTCTAGGTCCTCTAATCTTTTCTATTTTTATCAATGAACTGCCACTGGCATTAAACAAAGCGTGTGTGTCCATGTATGCTGATGATTCAACCATATACGCATCAGCAACCACAGCTAAGGAAGTAACTGAAACCCTTTACAAAGAGTTGAAGTCTGTTTTGGAATGGGGTGGCAAATAATAAACTGGTCCTGAACATCTCTAAAACTAAGAGCATTGTATTTGGTACAAATCATTCCCTAAGTTCTAGACATCAGCTGAATCTGGTAATGAATGGTGTGGCTGTTGAACAAGCTGAGGAGACTAAATTACTTGGTGTTACCTTATACTGTAAAATGTCATGGTCAAAACATATAGATTCAATGGTTGTAAAGATGGGGAGAGGTCTGTCTGTAATAAAGAGATGCTCTGCTTTTTTGACACCACACTCCACAAAGTCCTGCAGGCTCTAGTTGGATCTTATCTTGATTATTGTCCTGTCATATTGTCAAGTGCTGCAAAGAAAGACCTAGTTAAGCTGCAGCTGGCCCAGAAAAGAGTGACACGTCGAGCTCTTCATTGTAATCAAAGGGCTAACATATTAATACTATGCATGCCAGTCGCTCTTGGCTAAGAGTTGAGGAAAGACTGACTGCGTCACTTGTTTTTATAAGAAATATTAATGTGTTGGAAATTCCAAATTGTTTGAATAGTCAACTGACACACAGCACTGACACACACACTTACCCCACCAGACATGCCACCAGGGGTCTATTCACAGTCCCCAGGTCCAGAACACATTCAAGGAAACATACAGTATTATACAGAGCCATGAGTGCATGGAACTCCCTTCCATCGTATATAGCGCAAGTGAACAGCAAACCTGGTTTCAAAAAACAAATAAAGCAACACCTCATGGCACAATGCCTCTAACCCATGTGAGCTACTTGTTGTGTGTATGTACCAGGGGCGGTGTGTTCAATAGGGCGATATGGGCGACGCACTGCCAAACGGGAAAAGGAAGGGATTTTTTTTCTAATCAATTATATCACGGCAACAGTAGTTATCAGTGTTGTAATCTAGACGTCTGATCTGCCACAGTGCCACTAAATGTCCAATCAGGCTAAAGTCGTGCTTCAAATGGCCCCCACCCCCTTTTGGGGCGATTTCAGTCAGGTTGAAAATCGCCCAGAAGTCTGTCATAGACTCCCATGTAAAATCTATTTTTTTCAAATATCAGAGCTTTCAATACAATCTCTATGGGTTTCTGAGGGCTTGCACTTACGCGCTTTCGTCATACGTAACATAACCATGAACGTAACTAAGAAAAGAGCGGGTAGCAGCGTCAATCAATTCACTATTACTGTCAAAATGGCTAGGCTTCAGTGCAACTCGATTGTGTCTTTGAAAGAAGTTCCTTTTTGTCGGCGAACAAATGAAGATAAATTGGCAACGAAACAATTAGGACCTCCCAGACCAAATTTAATAATTCAACAGGTTTCTACTAAAGGGGGGAAGTCCTACACCCGAGGATTTTCCAAAAATTGGTACGAACGAAAAACCTGGCTAGCAGGCTGCGATGTAGCTAATGCAGTCTTCTGCTACCCCCTGCTTACTCTTTCACCCTGAAGGTGGCACGGCAGACAGCACCGCTTGGATAGCGACTGGTGTGTAACGGACATGCACCATCTTTCAGGAAAGATTAAGAAACATGAGCTGTCAAAGACCCACATGGATACCTGTTTGAGATTGTCTGCTTTGGGGAGAGTGAACATTCCCACTCAACTGGATGAGGGATACAGGCTAGCTGTCCGCCGCCACAACGATGAGGTTAGTGTTGATAATCACAAGTTTACTGGAGAACTGAAACTGACAAGGCTGACAAGATAGGACCCTTTTGTCCATTGTTATTGGATAGGAACAGAACTTATAACCAGCTCCTGACCTAAATAGATCTTAGCACAACATTTTACTCAACATATCATATTCCATATTCACTATAACAAATATATTTACTACGACATTAGCAAGAACCGCCACATCCTCAGCCGGCTAATCCAGTGTGTGAAGTTTTGCGGAGTGTTTGAGTTAGCTTTGCGAGGCAAAGATGAAACTGAGGGCTCCACCAACCCTGGTAAGCCAACACTTTTGAGATCAGTCAATAAATGCTTCTGGTATTGACTTATATGCTGCCCCTGTCTTCATGTTGTTGCTGGACATATCTTTTTTTAAATGTGTGTAGGTCACCTAAATCATCAGAAAAATTGCCCCCCCTGAGAATTTTTTCAGGAGCCGCCACTGGTATGTACTGACATGTACAGTATGTGTAATTGATAGATGCACACACACATTACATGTTAAATTGTAAAGTATTTTGTCTGTAATGTATTTTTCGTTATGTGTCGGACCCCAGTAAGACTAGCTGTCGCCATTGGCATCGGCTAATGGGGATCCTAATAAATCAAATCAAAGTGAAGCCGCGGAATGGCATAATGTATGAAATACAGAGGAGACAGAAAATGTTATGATTTTGATGATTCTATTGATTGTGGTGTTGATGATGTGGATGGTGAAAAAGACAGGACTGACCTGCAGCATCTGAAGCAAGGTCTCCATCTGTCACCTGAACACTCTCTGGTCCTGTTGATTCAGGGTTGATGGCCGCATCACAGTTCTTGTCAGCCAAATCTGTCAAAAACAGAGGTTGGGATCAGGGATCAGAAACAAACCATAAATATGTAATTGTCTTCAGCATATGTTACAGTCCAAGTTCGAAGAACGTCGAGGATGGCAAGAGTCATTAAGATTTATGTGTGTTTTTTACGGATCATTATGCCAAATCTAGGCCGGTTTCCGGATAGCGATGGAACTTATGCTTACAAGTGCATTCCAGTAACGTCCGAATAACTCACATGCATTTCCCAAATCACCACGTAGGGAGAACTTTCACTAAGTGGTCGTTGGTGCATGTGTCGATACTGATAGATCGGAAGAAAGGCAGCACTAATTTTGGATCAGCTTTCTACATTAAAATCCACCTTAACATTAGAATTATTCCACAATACTGACGATGGATCAGCTCCTAGAGAAATATTATCACCTATATGGGTGCAAATATTGCTGCTTTTTCTTATGCTTACCTTAAAAAATGCACTAAATCACAAATTTGGCACATCATTCCGCACATTTTGTTACACATCATGAAACATATTGAGGATAAATTACAGACAGTAGCCTACAATTAGCAAAATAGAACTCAGTTGAACATGAAATAGATTTTAATATTAGTTAAATATATAGGCCTACGGACAATGTATCCTATAATGTATTTATATTTTAATGCAGTCATCTCAGTTTTCATTTGAAGCATATTTGTATCCTTCACTTGTTTGTAACAATTGCAAAGACATTGGCAACTTTGTATTTGTAAGCCTAGTCAACTTCGTTCTGAAGTTATCAGCATTAACAGAGACAGATAAACATCTTGATTCTATGTTTTGCGGAGAACTTCTGTGTATAAATCACTCACATAACGGAGGACAAAACAGAAAAAAAATCTGATAATCTGCAGTTTCTTAAAATAAAATTACAGCTCTTAATAAGGATTGTTTAAAAAGAAGACCAGCTTTATATGTCATTAAAATGAAGGGCAAAAATGCATCTCTTGACGCGCTGTTCTATGAGTGGTCTGAGGCAGTCTGTCACGGATACAGGTATCCTGTGTCTGTTTGTGTTTTTCCTCTCCTTCTGCCCTAATCACAGGTGTCCTGTATGTTCCTGATTGGTGGTCGTTGGGGTGTCTGCTGATTGCTGAGGTGGACCAATCAGTGGACATTCCTCTGCATTGCACCACCTGTTTCTGGTTTTTCAATCACACATCCCATTGTTTAAAAGCCAGTCAGTTGTGTTTGTAGAGAGAGACTATTTTCCGTATGTGAGTATGGATACTGTGGTGTCCTGTGTTTTGTGTACTCACTCATTTGCTGGTTACTCTGTTTGGTAACTTTGTTGTGTGTTTCTGGGAAAAGGGGAATTTAAGCAAGTTGCCCTTGGGCATACATTACCCGTAGGAAGAAAACTGTCTAAAAACACTAGTTAGACCTGAGCGGACCACCCACTGTAATTTTTGTATGATTAGCAGTAGCTTAGCGGTTCTTGAGGCAGGCAAGATCTGTTTAGGTTTTTTTTACACTATTGTTTCATTTCTTGGGTCCTGCTCAGCCCTTTTTCCCAAACCTTTACTGTGTGTTCAAAAATAAACATTTTATGTTTGACGGTAGTTTATGGTTGTCGTGTAGTTTTTGTTCTCACTGTTCCATGTCACGATTCTAATTTGCATTAATTATGTTACGGGTCTCTTGTCCATCCACCCTAGACGTTTAAAGGCACGGGGTTTGTAACACAGTCGGTAATTAATGACCATTTTCAAGTTCAACTTTAGTAACAATAGTTTTGGGAAACAGCTCTGAGATTTAACGGTGCTCCTACAAAGGTTCTAACAATTATCTTAGCCTTAACATACTTTTGGGAAACCGGGCCCTGGTCAATATGTAAATAGAAACTCACCTGATGCATTGAAACAGAAGGCATCAAAGGGTTGGTCTGCATTCGCATGATGGTAGAAGACTCCAGTCATGTTGTTGGCACAGTTAACGTGGGCCTTTTGTCTGAGGATGGTGGTGTTTCCGTTGCTGATCCAACCATATCTAGAATCAAACGGCAAATAGCATTTAAGATCCAATTGCTATTTTATTTAATTTTTCTATTTCACCTTTATTTAACCAGGTAAGCCAGTTGAGAACAAGTTCACATTTACAACTGCGACCTGGCCAAGATACAGCAAAGCAGTGCGATAAAAACAACTACACAGAGTTACATATGTCAAACAAAGTCAAAAATACAACCGAAAAAATATATACAGTGTGTGCGAATGTAGTAAGTTATGGAGGTAAGGCAATAAATAGGCCATAGTGCAAAATAGTTACAATTTCGTATAATACTGGAATGTATTATATGTGCAAATAGAGATACTGGGGTGCATAATAAATAACAATATGGGGATGAGGTAGTTGGGTGGGGTAATTTCAGAAAGGCTGTGTACAGGTGCAGTGATCGGTAAGCTGCTCTGACAACTGATGCTTAAAGTTAGTGAGGGAGATAAGTGTCTCCAGCTTCAGACATTTTTGCAGTTCGTTCCAGTCATAGGCAGCAGAGAACTGGAAGGAATGGCAGCCAAAGGAGGTGTTGGCTTTGGGGATGACCAGTGAGATATACCTGCTGGAGCGCAGAATACGGGTGGGTGTTGCTATGGTGACCAGTGAGCTAAGATAAGACGGGGATTAGCCTAGCAGTGATTTATAGATGACCTGGAGCCAGTGGGTTTGGCGACTAATATGTAGTGAGGGCCAGCCAACAAGAGCGTACAGGTCACAATGGTGGGTAGTATATGGGGCTTTGGTGACAAAACGGATGGCACTGTGATAGACTACATCCAATTTGCTGAGTAGGGTGTTGGAGGCTATTTTGTAAATGACATCGCCGAAGTCAAGGATCGGTAGGATAGTCAGTTCTACGAGGGCATGTTCGGCAGCATGAGTGAAGGAGGCTTTGTTGCGAAATAGGAATCCAATTCTAGATTTAACTTTTGATTGGAGATGGTTAATGTGAGTCTGGAAGGAGAGTTTACAGTCTAACCAGACACCTAGATATTTGTAGTTGTCCACATACTCTAGGTCAGACCCGCCGAGAGTAGTGATTCTAGTCGGGTGGGCGGGTGCAAGCAGTGTTCGGTTGAAGAGCATGCATTTAGTTTTACTACTGTTTAAGAGCAGTTGGAGGCTACGGAAGGAGTGTTGTATGGCATTGAAGCTCGTCTGGAGGTTTGTTAACACAGTGTCCAATGAAGGGCCAGATGTATACAAAATGGTTTCGTTCGCATAGAGGTGGAACCGAGCGTCACCAGCAGCAAGAGCGACATCATTGATATACACAGAGAATAGAGTCGGCCCGAGAATTGAACCCTGTGGCACGCCCCTAGAGACGGCCAGAGGTCCAGACAACAGGCCCTCCGATTTGACACATTGAACTCTATCTGAGAAGTAGTTAGTGAACCAGGTGAGGCAGTCATTAGAGAAACCAAGGCTATTTAGTCTGCCAATAAGAATGCGGTGGTTGACAGAGTCGAAAGCCTTGGCCAGGTCGATGAAGACAGCTGCGCAGTACTGTCTTTTATCGATCGTGTTTATAGTATCGTTTAGGACCTTGAGCGTGGCTGAGGTGCACCCATGACCAGCTCGGAAACCGGATTGCATAGCGGAGAAGGTACGGTGGGATTCGAAATGGTCGGTGATCTGTTTGTTAACTTGGTTTTCAAATACTTTCGAAAGGCAGGGCAGGATGGATATAGATATATAACAGTTAGGATTTAGAGTGTCACCCCCTTTGAAGAGGGGGATGACTGCGGCAGCTTTCCAATCTCTGGGGATCTCAGACGTTACGAAAGAGAGGTTAAACAGGCTAGTAATAGGGGTTGCAACAATTTCGGCGGCTAATTTTAGAAAGAAAGGGTCCAGATTGTCTAGCCCAGCTGATTTGTAGGTGTCCAGATTTTTTAGCTCTTTCAGAACATCAGCTGTCTGAATTTGTGTGAAGGAGAAGGGGGGGGGGGGGGGGGGGGGGGGGCATGGACAAGTTGAAGTGGAGGGTGCAGAGCTCGTGGCCGGGGTAGTGGTAGCCGTAGCAAAATGCTTGTTGAAATTCTCGATTATTGTAGATTTATCGGTGGTGACAGTGTTTCCTAGCCTCAGTGCAGTGGGCAGTTGGGAGGAGGTGCTCTTATTTTCCATGGACTTTACAGTGTCCCAAAACTTTTTGGAGTTAGTGCTACAGGATGCAAATTTCTTTTTGAAAAAGCTAGCCTTTGCTTTCCTAACTGATTGTGTATATTGGTCCCTGACTTCCCTAAAAAGTTGCATATCGCGGGGACTGTTCGATGCTAATGCAGTACGCCACGGGATGTTTTTGTGCTGGTCAAGGGCAGTCAAGTCTGAGGAGAACCAGGGGCTATATCTGTTCTTAGTTCTGAATTTTTTGAATGGGGCATGCTTATTTAAGATTGAGAGGAAAGCACTTTTAAAGAACAACCAGGCATCCTCTACTGACGGAATGAGGTCAATATCCATCCAGGATACCCGGGCCAGGTAAATTAGAAAGGCCTGCTCGCTAAAGTGTTATAGGGAGCGCTTGACAGTGATGAGGGGTGGTCGTTTGATCGTGGACCCATTACGGACGCAGGCAATAAGGCATACAGTGCCTTGCAAAAGTATTCATCCCCCTTGGCGTTTTTCATATTTTGTTGCATTACAACCTGTAATTTGAATAGATTTTTATTTGGATTTCATGTAACGGACATACACAAAATAGTCCAAATTGGTGAAGTGAAATTACCAAAATAACTTGTTCCCAAAAATTCTAAAAAATTAATAACGGAAAAGTGGTGCGTGCATATGAATTCACCCCCTTTGCTATGAAGCCCCTAAATAAGATCTGGTGCAACCAATTACCTTCAGAAGTCACATAATTAGTTAAATAAAGTCCACCTGTGTGCAATCTAAGTGTCACATGATCTGTCACATGATCTCAGTATATATACAGCTGTTCTCAAAGGCCCCAGAGTCTGCAACACCACTAAGCAAGGGGCACCACCAAGCAAGCGGCACCAAGCTCTCCAAACAGGTCAGGGACAAAGTTGTGGAGAAGTAGAGATCAGGGTTGGGATATAAAATAATATCTGGAACTTTGAACATCCCACGGAGCACCATTAAATCCATTATTTAAAAAATGGAAAGAATATGGCACCACAAGAAACCTGCCAAGAGAGGGCCGCCCACCAAAACTCAAGGGCCAGGCAAGGAGGGCATTAATCAGAGAGGCAACAAAGAGACCAAAGATAACCCTGAAGGAGCTGCAAAGCTCCACAGCGGAGATTGGAGAATCTGTCCATAGAACCACTTTAAGCCGTACACTCCAAAGAGCTGGGCTTTATGGAAGAGTGGCCAGAAAAAAAGCCATTGCTTGAAGAAAAAAATAAGCAAACACATTTGGTGTTTGCCAAAAGCCATGTGGGAGACTCCCCAAACATATGGAAGAAGGTACTCTGGTCAGATGAGACTAAAATTTAGCTTTTGGCCATCAAGGAAAACCCTATGTCTGGCGCAAACCCAACACCTCTCATCACCCCGAGAACACCATCCCCACAGTGAAGCATGGTGCTGGTAGCATAATGCTTTGGGGATGTTTTTCATCGGCAGGGACTGGGAAACTGGTCAGAATTGAAGGAATGGTGGATGGCGCTAAATACATGGAAATTCTTGAGGGAAACCTGTTTCAGTCTTCCAGAGATTTGAGACTGGGACGGAGGTTCACCTTCCAGCAGGACAATGACCCTAAGCATACTGCTAAAGCAACACTTGAGTGGTTGAAGGGGAAACATTTAAACGTCTTGGAATGGCCTAGTCAAAGCCCAGACCTCAATCCAATTGAGAATCTATGGTATGACTTAAAGATTGCTGTACACCAGCAGAACCCATCCAACTTGAAGGAGCTGGAGCAGTTTTGCCTTGAAGAATGGGCAACAATCCAAGTGGCTAGATGTGCCAAGCCTATAGAGACATACCCCAAGAGACTTGCATGTGTAATTGCTGCAAAAGGTGGCTCTGCAAAGTATTGACATTGGTGGGGGATATTTATGTACGCTCAAGTTTTCAGTTTTTTTGTCTTATTTCTTGTTTTTTTCACAGAAAAAATATTTTGCATCTTCAAAGTGGTAGGCATGTTGTGTAAATCAAATGATACAAACCCCCCCAAAATCCATTTTAATTCCAGGTTGTAAGGTAACAAAATAGGAAACATTCCAAGGGGGGTGAATACTTTCGCAAGCCACTGTAGTTATTGAACAGCATCAACATTCAGGCGTTCCTACCCCTCTGGGTACAGTTGAGTATCATTTGAATATCAGCTACTGGACATCATGTCGTGCCTGTAGTGGGATGAGTACTCAGTTAGCCTTGTCATTGATATGATGATCTCAGAATGGCAACAGAATAGGAAAAATGCCATGTGGGGTGAATACTTTCACAAGCCACTGTAGTACATTAGCCATTAGCTTTAGAGTGTTTGTAGCTTACACAACAGAATCATCAGCAATACTCAAGATGTATGTGAAATATAGGTAAAAAATAATATAGTTAAAGTAGAGGTGAAGCAAGATAACACAATACTTTTTATTTTCTGTACTTGATCTAAATAGGAGATTAAACGTCAATGAAGTTAAACAATCATTTGTATTGACAAAGTAAATCAATACTACTAGCAGTGTTTAAGTTGAGATAAGGAACACGGTACAAGGCTCCGTAATCATAAAATGACCGTTACCATTTTCCCTGCAAAAAACAAACAAACAGCATAGACCCGCATAACTTCCAAGCTGGTCCAGTGCTGGTCTGACCAGCATGATCTAGCTGGTAAGGATGGCCAACTAGCTGGTTAAGCTGGTGATGCTGGTAACCAAGCTGGTCCAGCATGGTCTAGCTGGTCAAGCTGGTCTGACCAGCATGGTCTAGCTGGCAAAACCACGCCCATCATTATCACATTTTCCAGCATCCTCTATTGCAGTTAGATTTTAGGATTTTTTTGTTTCAATTGTGGGTGAACAACAGTTCCAATTGTTGAATATCCCCACTCTGGCTGGATACCAATATGAATTAAATGTAACTCTGCAAGCCAGAATAATGTGACTGGCAGGCCTGATAAGTAAGGCCCTGTGATATGTAATGTATTGTCTTAAATAATTAAGCACTTTTATGCTGGTTTTTCTGGTGACCAGTTTGTGCTGGTCATCAGCATATCAGCGTCACCAGCATAAGTTGTACAGTTGCCATGGCGCTATATTAGCAGCCTAGACAGAGAGCTCCTGTATATTTTGTAAATATTTAATAATTTTATGGGGTCTTTTGTATGAATCATTTTACGTTATTTTTGTTTTTGAATAGCCAAATGAGTATAGATTTAGTCTGGATAAACAAATCAAAGAATCCTTCCCAAGAATAAATCGCAAACCAGCTTTTCAAGATAGCTAGCTAACAATGCTAGCTGCTTGTTGTTTTGATTTCAATACATCAGCCTACGTTTGGATGTTTCTATGGTCTACTTGATCCAAGAGGGGGACTACAATGCAGTGGCAAGTTGGCAGTGAGGAATTCATTGCTCAAGAGCATTTCTCCAAAGTTATGAGTGGACTGAATCCTGACTGCATGTGGAGCTAAAATACAAACTGCATCTCGTTCTACAATTGTCCTACCGCTACAGAGAAGACACAGACGGCGAGACTCCTTGAGCTACCTGCCTGCCCCCGGACGTCCTGTTGATCACCTGCACCTCCCTCTGCTCAAACGTTGTGCTATTGACTGTCGCTCCATCTGTTGGAGGCTTGAAGTAACGTACTGAGAACTTTATAGTCCAGACCTACTGTATTACTCATGTCAATCATATTTTTTATTGATGTTTTTGCTTTTCAAGTGTTTTGAGATTTGTTTACTTGTATGTGCCGTGTACTGCAATTCAGCTTTTAGCTGCAAAGTATGGCCTACACTTTAAAACATTTTATCAACTACTACTATAATCTGGTCACCAGCATACCAGTGTCCAAAATACAACGAAGGCTGATTACCAGCAAAACCAGCACTAGTCACCATCATATGCTGGTCTATGCTTTTCTTTCAGCAGGGTTGTTTTTGATTTAGAGGAGGTCATTCAATGAATGATAAGCCTACTATGAACTTGTTAAAAAACACTTACAGAAGGGATTCACACGTATGTTTCAATGGCCATACTAGCATACCACAAACACATGCTCAATACATAGCTTGATTCTAAGAGGTATGCTAGTGTGAATATTTGAACAGGACCATTAGTCTCAGGGAAACATCTTGCTGATCTCCTTCCTTTGAATCAGCCGTTGTTTACCCTTTGATAAGGCACATCCTGCGGTTCCTAAGCGGAGGCTCTCTTGTCATGAAGAGAGGTGTGACCTCACCTGCAGGTCTCTAGGCCTCGGGCATGTGCCTCGATGACCTGTTCCCCACTGGCAATGGTGGCACCCAGTCTCTCACACAGCTTCTTGGCCAGGTCAAAGGTCAATGAGTAGCGAACTTCTCCCTCCACGTGGAACACTCCGGCATGGCTGCAGCTACGCGACTTCACTGTAGCTGAGGGAAGGAGGAGAAGGTGGGAGAGAGGTTAGTATTAAGGAAATCCGTCTGTGAGACACTGTGACAGCATGGCGGCCATTTTGTTACTATGAATTTGAAAACTATCATATTTCGACTTCATCAAAGAGACTGAAAGAACAGGATGGAAGAAAGGTTACTTTTCACTATGTCTGAAAAGAACTAGGCATTGCTCTTGTCAGGTCAGGTGGTCAGTTTCACACACCTACCTAGGCACAAGACCAACTGATGACATACAAAAACAGATGGGTCAAACAAATTCATTTCCCACTGGCATTCGCAATAAAGTTGGCATTCACAATCAAGTTTCCATTACAATTTTCCCTTTGCTCTTGTCAGGTTAGGTGGTCAGTTTCACACAACGTACTAGACACAAGACCAACTGGTGACAAACAAAACAGATGGGTGAAACAAATTCATTTACCACTGGTATTCGCAATAAAGTTGGAATTTTCATCACAATTTTGGGTTAACAAATGTATTACAGACATGAGAAACACACCACATGGCACACACTGGTTGAATCAACGTTGTTTCCACATCATTTCAATTAAATGATGTTGAACCAACGTGGAATAGACGTTGAATGACGTCTGTGCCCAGTGGGATTTAAAACCAGTTAAATGTAACTAAATGTAATCTAAAATGTAATCTGCGTAATCCCCAAAAGTAATTATTTAGTATAAATATGATACAAATATGTTATATGTATTTCCAATTCAACAAAACTCTATGAATAAGGCTTGAAATGACTTATATGATTTCTAAATGTAGTATAATCAAATTATAAAACGACTAACTATAAGATTTCACCCTCCTTAGAACTATAAAATACATATTTGTAAGTTTAGTGTTAGAGAAAATGTGCACATTTTCTAAAGGTCTCTCTTGATCAAAAAGTATTTCCCCTGCCGCTGTGAAAGTCACACAGAGCTCGAGCTTGGCTTCCTGAACTCGTTAGGAACTCGCCTTTCATCTCATATTAATATTGCTATAAATCAATCTCTGAATGTGCTAGAAATCCCTCTCTCCTGCTGCTCTGTAAGGATTGCAGGTATGTGTAAGGATTGCAGGTATGTGCTTTATCAGTGGCTGTGACATAGGGCTCAGTCAGGAATTGATGGTAGAGTGAATGGAATAGTAGGAGGGACATCCCAGCTTCAAGTGGTGTCAGATTTCACATCCTACTTCACACAGGCGGTAGATTATATACTCATTTGTCCGTGAGAATCAGGGCTACCTCTCAATGCAAGCCATTTCGATTTACGGTGTCCACAGATCGATTTATAAGCAAAACTGTCAGTCGGAACCGGTACCAGAACAACGCAGGTCAAGCCATTTAGATGTTCCCCCTGTAATTATTTTATTTCAACAATCCATCATAAGAAATCTTATATAATGATGTTGCTTTTCATATAAAACAGGTTACATTTCTACTTATAAAGTATTGGAACCTAATACTTCTTAACACTATTGAATAGTTGTCTTGGGAAATACTTCTGAAACCAGTACCTAGTTCTTCTAGTCTATAACTCCATAGTAACTGACAGAGATGGGATCAGTGGTGACCTTACTGCAGCTCTGGCATACTAATATTTATCCAGGACTAACATTACCTGAGTACTCCTATTCATAGGTTGCATGTTTTGTCACAATATTGTTTTGAACGTTTGTTTTGTACTGATGCCCAACTGAGCAATCTACTCAATGCATCGTCAATGAGCGCCTATGAAGATTTCATCAAAAGTGCATTACAGTGGCTTGGTAATACAATGCCATTCATAAGGAGTCAAATAATTGGTAGGAAAAACTTTTGTCATCATTTTGATGTCACCATAGTTTTTAGCTAGCTAACGTTAGCATTGCTAGCTATTTTTGACAAACTTTTCTAGCTAATGACAACATTGCCATCTGTCTAAAGCAGGGGTGTCAAACGTCCGGCCCGCGGGCTGGATCAGGCCCGCAAACGGGTTTAATCCGGCCCGCGAGATGATAAAAAAATAAAATAATAATAATAATAATAATAATAATAAAACTTTCAAATAACTTGAGGTGTTTTATGATTAATAGTGATGTTGTGCTTTTGGACCCTGTCCTCAGGTTCCAGCTTTATGTTTATATGTTTTTATGTTGATGTGCTATTGTTTTTAATTGTTTTTATTTTATTTGTATATTTAACCTATTCTTGACTCTGTGGTTCTTGCACTTGTTTGGGGAACAGGATTTCATTATTTTTATCTACATTTCTGCCTGAGAAATGACACCCTGATATAGTTCTGTGATCTGTGATATACTTCTGTGAATCACTGAGGCATTGTGTGTTTGTGTGTTCTTTGTCCTCAGAACTTTCAAATAACTTGAGGTGTTTTATGATTAATAGTGATGTTGTGCTTTTGGACACTGTCCTCAGGCTCCAGCTTTATGTTTATATGTTTTTATGTTGATGTGCTATTGTTTTTAATTGATTTTATTTTATTCATATATTTAACCTATTCTTGACTCTGTGGTTCTTGCACTTGTTTGGGGAACAGGATTTCATTATTTTTATCTACATTTCTGCCTGAGAAATGACACCCTGATATAGTTCTGTGATCTGTGAAACAGTTCTGTTAATCACTGAGGCATTGTGTGTTTGTGTGTTCTTTTTCTTCAGAATTTTCAAATAAACTTGACGTGTTTTATGATTAATAGTGATGTTGTGCTTGTACTATTTTGGACACACTGTCCTCAGGCTCCAGCTTTATGTTGTATGTTGATCGTATTAAAACAAAGAAAACAATCTGAAGTTGTTGTTTTTAAGTTATATATACCATGATTTTTCCGGTCCGGCCCACTTGGGGATAGATTTTCCTCCATGTGGCCCCTGAGCTAAAATGAGTTTGACACCCCTGGTCTAAAGTAAATTTGACGACATGATAATGCTGGCAAAGTTGTTTCCTACTAAACATTTGACTACTTTAGCAATGTAATCGTATTTCCAGGCACTATAGTGTAATTTAGACTAAACAGTCTCCGTCCAGAATGACTGGGCTTATCACAACTTTAGGGCACCACTATTGCGCCGCCGGTTGAGAACGTTCATAACAATGGCATGACGCGACTCAGTGACGGAGGTGCAACCTATGAATTGAAATAGTAATGTATGTTCTCTTTGTCATACACCTGTATAAGCCTATATTTAAGCTCTCAACACATTGCAATACATATACAGTGAGGGAAAAAAGTATTTGATCCATTGCTGATTTTGTACGTTTGCCCACTGACAAAGAAATGATCAGTCTATCATTTTAATGGTAGGTTTATTTGAACAGTGAGAGACAGAATAACAACAAAAAAATCCAGAAAAACGCATGTCAAAAGTGTTATAAATTGATTTGCATTTTAATGAGGGAAATAAGTATTTGACCCCTCTGCAAAACATGACTTAGTACTTGGTGGCAAAACCCTTGTTGGCAATCACAGAGGTCAGTCGTTTCTTGTAGTTGGTCACCAGGTTTGCACACATCTCAGGAGGCATTTTGTCCCACTCCTCTTTGCAGATCTTCTCCAAGTCATTAAGGTTTCGAGGCTGACGTTTGGCAACTCAAACCTTCAGCTCCCTCCACAGATTTTCTATGGGATTAAGGTCTGGAGACTGGCTAGGCCACTCCAGGACCTTAATGTGCTTCTTCTTGAGCCACTCCTTTGTTGCCTTGGCCATGTGTTTTGGGTCATTGTCATGCTGGAATACCCATCCATGACCCATTTTCAATTCCCTGGCTGAGGGAAGGAAGTTCTCACCCAAGATTTGACGGTACATGGCTCCATCCATCGTCCCTTTGATGCGGTGAAGTTGTCCTGTCCCCTTAGCAGAAAGACACCCCCAAAGCATAATGTTTCCACCTCCACATTTGACGTTGGGGATGGTGTTCTAGGCAGCATTCCTCCTCCTCCAAACACAGCGAGTTGAGTTGATGCCAAAGAGCTCCATTTTGGTCTCATCTGACCACAACACTTTCACCCAGTTCTCCTCTGAATCATTCAGATGTTCATTGGCAAACTTCAGACGGGCATGTATATGTGCTTTCTTGAGCAGGGGGACCTTGCGGGCGCTGCAGGATTTCAGTCCTTCACGGCGTAGTGTGTTACCAATTTGTTTTCTTGGTGACTATGGTCCCAGCTGCCTTGAGATCATTGACAATATCCTCCCATGTAGTTCTGGGCTGATTCCTCACCGTTCTCATGATCATTGCAACTCCACGAGGTGAAATCTTGCATGGAGCCCTAGGCCGAGGGAGACAGTTATTTTGTGTTTCTTCCATTTGCGAATAATCGCACCAACTGTTGTCACCTTCTCACCAAGCTGCTTGGCGATGGTCTTGTAGCCCATTCCAGCCTTGTAGGTCTACAATCTTGTCCCTGACATCCTTGGAGAGCTCTTTGGTCTTGGCCATGGTGGAGAGTTTGGAATCTGATTGATTGATTGCTTCTAAAAATAAAATAATAATATGCCATTTAGCAGACGCTTTTATCCAAAGCGACTTACAGTCGTGCGTGCATACATGGACGTGTCTTTTATACAGGTAACAAGCTGAGATTAGGAGCACTACCTTTAAGAGTGGGCTCCTAATCTCAGCTCGTTACCTGTATAAAAGACACCTGGGAGCCAGAAATGTTTCTGATTGAGAGGGGGTCAAATACTTATTTCCCTCATTAAAATGCAAATCAATTTATAACATTTTTGACATGCGTTTTTCTGTTTAATTTTGTTGTTATTCGGTCTCTCACTGTTCAAATAAACCTACCATTAAAATGATAGACTGATCATTTATTTGTCAGTGGGCAAACGTACAAAATCAGCAGGGGATCAAATACTTTTTTCCCTCACAGTCGTGGTCAAAAGTTTTGAGAATGACACAAATACTAATTTTCACAAAGTCTGCTGCCTCAGTTTTGATGATGTAAATTTGCTTATACTCAAGAATGTCTTGAAGAGTGATCAGATGAATTGCAATTAATTGCAAAGTCCCTCTTTGCCATGAAAATGAACTTAATCCCAAAAAAACATTTTCACTGCATTTCAGCCCTGCCACAAAAGGACCAGCTGCCATCATGTCAGTGATTCTCTCGTTAACACAGGTGAGAGTGTTGACGAGGCCAAGGCTGGAGATCACTCTGTTATGCTGATTGAGTTAGAATAACAGACTGGAAGCTTTAAAATAATATTAATAATAATAATTTAAAAGGAGGGTGGTGCTTGAAATCATTGTTCTTCCTCTATTAACCATGGTTACCTGCAAGGAAACACGTGCCTTCATCATTGCTTTGCACAAAAAGGGCTTCACAGTCAAGGATATTGCTGCTAGTAAGATTGCACCTAAATCAACCATTTATCGGATCATCAAGAACTTCAAGGAGAGAGGTTCAATTGTTGTGAAGAAGGCGTCAGGGCGCCTAAGAAAGTCCAGCAAGCGCCAGGACCGTCTCCTAAATTTGATTCAGCTGCGGGATCGGGGCACCACCAGTGCAGAGCTTGCTCAGGAATGGCAGCAGGCAGGTGTGAGTGCATCTGCACGCACAGTGAGGCGAAGACTTTTGGAGGATGGCCTGGTGTCAAGAAGGGCAGCAAAGAAGCCACTTCTCTCCAGGAAAAAACATCAGGGACAGACTGATATTCTGCAAAAGGTACAGGGATTGGACTGCTGAGGACTGGGGTAAAGTCATTCTCTCTGATGAATCCCCTTTCCGATTGTTTGGGGCATCCGGAAAACACCTTGTCCAGAGAAGACAAGGTGAGCGCTACCATCAGTCCTGTGTCATGCCAACAGTAAAGCATCCTGAGACCATTCATGTGTGGGAACACAGCCATGAACACAGCCATGAATAAAGAAAGGTACCAACACATCCTCCGAGAGCAACTTCTCCCAACCTTCCAAGAACAGTTTGGTGACGACCAATGCCTTTTCCAGCATGATGGAGCACCTTGCCATAAGGTAAAAGTGATAACTAAGTGGCTCGGGGAAGAAAACATCGACATTTTGGGTCCATGGCCAGGAAACTCCCCAGACCTTAATCCCATTGAGAACTTGTGGTCGATCCTCAAGAGGCGGGTGGACAAACAAAAACCCACATTCTGACAAACTCCAAGCACTGATTATGCAAGAATGGGCTGCCATCAGTCAGGATGTGGCCCAGAAGTTAATTGACAGCATGCCAGGGCGGATTGCAGAGGTCTTGAAAAAGAAGGGTCAACACTGCAAATATTGACTCTTTGCATAAACTTAATGTAATTGTCAATAAAAGCCTTTGACACTTATGGAATGCTTGGAATTATACTTCAGTACACCATAGTAGCATCTGACAAAAATATCTCATAACACTGAAACAGCGAACTTTGTGAAGACCAATATTTGTGTCATTCTCAAAACTTTTGACCACGACTGTAGATTCTGCCATATGCAATTAGTACGACTGTGCTCTCGAGTTTCACTTCCGATAAGCGGACACACATTACTCACATCCTATACTTCAATAAATACTTAACAATTGGCCAGCTGCTACAGTATGATTGACTGGTTTCCTGCAATAGTCTCTTTACAACTCATTCATCTTTTGTTTTACAAGGAGTTATAATGCCTATTTTGAGCCTGTTTTACTGTGAATGGAAACACAACTATTCTGCAGATTTGAATAAGTTGCTGAGGATGTTGATTGCCACTGTGTCACTCAGCATACATGTGATTATGTTCCCAGACAATAGACAGCATATAGTTGAATACAATTAATCTTACAAATGTATTTCAGCTAGGCACGTGGGTAGGTTTTCCTTTGTGTTATTACATATCAGGATGGTTCTGATGCAGTCTGAGTGCTGTGGGACAGAAAGGCATACCATGAGACAGATCATCACTCATATGCTGTGTTTTACCCAGATGATGTTTACTAAAGAATACTACATTACTTACTATAGAATTATCTAGTAAACTGTAGTATCCTGTAGAACATTATACTACATACTGTAGTATCCCTCAATCATATATATAGTACTTATTATATCATTTAGTAGTATACAGTACTGTAGAATACTATGGTAAATACTACATTATAAACTGGGTGGTTCGAGCCCTGAATGCTTATTGGCTGAAAGCCGTGGTATATCAGACCTAAGTACGTTGCTAACCAGTTTATAATAGCAATAAGGCACTTCGGGAATTTGTGGTATATGGCCAGTAAACCACAGCTAAGGGCTGTATCCAGGCACTCCAACGTTGCGTCGTGCATTAGAACAGCCCTTAGCCGTGGTACAGTATATTGGCCATATACCACACCCCCTTGAGCCTTATTACTTAAGTATTCTACAGACCACAAAAACACTAACTACAGTGAATACTACAGTAATGTTTTTTTTTAAACACTACAGTGATTACTATAGTATATACTACAGTATTTAATGTGCATATACTCTGCCCAGTTCCCTCCGCCATATCCCAATTTGTGCCACCCATAAGTGAGAAACCTACATTCAAAGTATTCAGACCCCTTCAATCTACACACATTACCCCATAATGACAAAGTGAAAACAGGTTTTTAGACATTTGTGCAAATGTATTGCAAATAAAAAACGGAAATACCTTATTTACATAAGTATTCAGACCCTTTGCTATGAGACTCGAAATTGAGCTTAGGTGCATCCTGTTTCCATTGATCATCCTTGAGATGTTTCTACAACTTGATTGGAATCCACCTGTGGTAAATTCAATTGATTAGACATGATTTGGAAAGGCACACACCTGTCTATATAAGGTCCCACAGTTGACAGTGCATGTCAGAGCAAAAACCAAGTCATGAGGTTGAAGGAATTGTCCGTAGAGCTCCGAGACAGGATTGTGTCGAGGCACAGATCTGGGGTACCCAACATTTTCTGCAGCATTGAAGGTCCCCAAGAACACAGTGGCCTCCATCATTCTAACATTGAAGAAGTTTCGAACCACCAAGACTCTTCCTAGAGCTGGCTGCCCGGCCAAACTGAGCAATCAGGGGAGAAGGGCCTTCGTCCGGGAGGTGACCAAGAACCCGATGTTCACTCTGGCAGAGCTCGAGAGTTATTCTGTGGAGATGGGAGAACCTTCCAGAAGGACAACCATCTCTGCAATCAGGCTTTTATGGTAGATTGGCCAGACGGAAGCCACTCCTCAGTAAAAGGCACATAACAGCCCGCTTGGAGTTTGCCAAATGGCACCTAAATGACTCTCAGATCATGAGAAACAAGATTCTCTGGTCTGATGAAACCAAGATTGAACTCTTTGGTCTGAATGCCGAGTGTCACGTCTGGAGGAAACCTGGCACCATCCCTACGGTGAAACATGGTGGTGGCAGCATCATGCTGTGGGGATGTTTTTCAGCGGTAGGGACTGGGAGACTAGTCAGGATCGAGGGAAAGATGAACAGAACAGGACCTCAGACTGGGGCAAGGGTTCACCTTCCAACAGGACAATGACCCTAAGCACACAGCCAAGACAACACAGGAGTTGCTTCGGGACAAGTCTCTAAATGTCCTTGAGTGGCCCAGCCAGAGCCAGGACATGAACCTGATTGAACATCTCTGGAGAGACCTGAAAAAAGCTGTGCAGCGACGCTCCCCATCCAACCTGACAGAGCTTGAGATGTTCTGCAGAGAAGAATGGGAGAAAACTCCCCAAATACAGGTGTGCCAAGCTTGTAGCGTCATACCCAAGAAGACTTGAGGCTGTAGTCGCTGCCAAAGGTGCATCAACAAAGTACTGAGTAAAGGGTCTGAATACTTGTAAATGTAAATGTAATATTTCAGTTTTTAAAAAATTATACATTTGTAAAAAATTCTAAAAACCTGTTTTAGTTTTCTCAGGGGGGAAAAAAACGATTTAATCAATTTTAGAATAAGGCTGTAACGAAACAAAATTTGGAAAAAGTTAAGGGGTCCGAATGCACTGTGTTTCCTACAGGTCATAGAAAAGAGCAGAAGCGCTGAACTATCTGTCTACCTGCAGGACAAAGTCTGCAAAAACACTACAGTGAATACTACAGTATTTACACCATAGTATACTATAGTATTCTTTCATGTGGGTAACCTCAGGGCTCAGTATGGTTTTGTTTCACAGTGTTTTGTTACACTGGCGTAAGACCACACACACATATACATACAGTGGGGAAAAAAAGTATTTAGTCAGCCACCAATTGTGCAAGTTCTCCCACTTAAAAAGATGAGAGAGGCCTGTAATTTTCATCATAGGTACAAGTCAACTAGGACAGACAAAATGAGGAAAAAAATCCAGAAAATCACATTGTAGGATTTTTTATGAATTTATTTGCAAATTATGGTGGAAAAGAAGTATTTGGTCAATAACAAAAGTTTCTCAATAGTTTGTTATATACCCTTTGTTGGCAATGACACAGGTCAAACGTTTTCTGTAAGTCTTCACAAGGTTGTCACACACTGTTGCTGGTATTTTGGCCCATTCCTCCATGCAGATCTCCTCTAGAGCAGTGATGTTTTGGGGCTGTTGCTGGGCAACACAGACTTTCAACTCCCTCGAAAGATTTTCTATGGGGTTGAGATCTGGAGACTGGCTAGGCCACTTCAGGACCTTGAAATGCTTCGTACGAAGCCACTCCTTCGTTGCCCGGGCGGTGTGTTTGGGATCATTGACATGCTGAAAGAACCAGCCACGTTTCATCTTCAATGCCTTTGCTGACGGAAGGAGGTTTTCACTCAAAATCTCACGATACATGGCCCCATTCATTCTTTCCTTTACACGGATCAGTCGTCCTGGTCCCTTTGCAGAAAAACAGCCCCAAAGCATGATGTTTCCACCCCCATGCTTCACAGTAGGTATGGTGTTCTTTGGATGCAACTCAGCATTCTTTGTCCTCCAAACACGACGAGTTGAGTTTTTACCAAAAAGTTCTATTTTGGTTTCATATGACATTCTCCCAATCCTCTTCTGGATCATACAAATGCACTCTAGCAAACTTCAGACGGGCCTGGACATGTACTGGCTTAAGCAGGGGGACACGTCTTGCACTGCAGGATTTGAGGCCCTGGCGGCGTAGTGTGTTACTGATGGTAGGCTTTGTTACTTTGGTCCCAGCTCTCTGCAGGTCATTCACTAGGTCCCCCCGTGTGGTTCTGGGATTTTTGCTCACCGTTCTTGTGATCATTTTGACCCCACGGGGTGAGATCTTGCGTGGAGCCCCAGATCGAGGGAGATTATCAGTGGTCTTGTATGTCTTCCATTTCCTAATAATTGCTCCCACAGTTGATTTATTCAAACCAAGCTGCTTACCTATTGCAGATTCAGTCTTCCCAGCCTGGTGCAGGTCTACAATTTTGTTTCTGGTGTCCTTTGACAGCTCTTTGGTCTTCGCCATAGTGGAGTTTGGAGTGTGACGTTGAGGTGTGAACAGTGTCTTTACTATAACAAGTCACAGCCATTAAACAGTAAAGTGGAGGACAAGGAGCCTCTTAAAAAGAATACAGTCGTAATGCTTGTTGTAGGTGTCCAAATACTATTTTCACATAATTTGCAATAATTCATTAAATCTACAATGTGTTTCGGATTTTTTTTTCTTTGTCTTCATAGTTGACGTGTACTATATGAAATTACAGCCTCTCTCATCTTTTTAAGTGGATAACTTCACAATTGTGGTGACAAATCTTTTTTCCCCACTGTACACACACGCATGTGCGCACTCGCACGCACACACAAACATAAATGATCAACATAATTTACCAATTATCTGTCATATCATCGCTCAATGTCACGTAGCCCTTTACACTCCTATCCCTATATGGGTTGAAAATGTCAGATTTGTGGCACTGATTATGTGCCTAAATTGGAACGCAGTGGCTGTACAGTAACATGCTGTAAATGACGTCAGAGCTCAGGCTCTGTGCTTCATAGCGCTGTATGGGTTTTGACTGACAGCCGTTCTGAAGTTGAGCACTGCACGCAACAAGAAGTTGCCCCCATCCCTCCCGCTACTTGGGAAAATGTAGCACATTTTTTGTTTTCTGAGTGAGGGAAATGTTGTAAATTAAGAGGACTCAATGTATTTTGAAAGATGAGACATTGAGGATTATAATAAATACCGCTTTGATGTCATACAAGCAAGCCAAAACGATGTCATACTGCTTTGATGTCACACAAGTTAAATTAGTCCCACTGTCTCGCCAGTGTGATTTAGGACTTCTAACCCCGTTTAAACATTGTGTGTTTGAGCTACAGACTTCTGGGTTGTACCATTGGTCTGTGTGATTAAAGGGGGCTGACCTAGAGCGGTGCTTGTGAGACAATGGCGGATCCCAAAGGGGCCCAGGGACCGGGTCTTTTTACAAAAACATCTGTACAGTCAGAATGTTTTGAGCTGCAAACTATTAAAAAGCTGAGACTGTCACAAACACGCACTTGTAACATGGTTTGCTCAATGACGCTCACAAGCTACACTTCAGTCGTTAGAAGATAAGGGGTTCTTCAACATAGAAGATCATAGGAAATCCCAGGACATAGTGTCTATAATACTGCAATAAGTTCACATAGTTGCTGTAACAAACTCCAAACAGTTATTACTGACTAGCTGGATGTTCATTTCCCACTAAGCAAAACATTTCTGTACTTACAGCATTCATATACAGTGGGGGAAAAAAGTATTTAGTCAGCCACCAATTGTGCAGGTTCTCTCACTTAAAAAGATTAGAGAGGCCTGTAATTTTCATCATAGGTACACGTCAACTATGACTGACAAAATGAGGAAAAAAAATCCTGAAAATCACATTGTAGGATTTTTTATGGATTTATTTGCAAATTATGGTGGAAAATAAGTATTTGGTCAATAACAAAAGTTTCTCAATACTTTGTTATATACCCTTTGTTGGCAATGACACAGGTCAAACGTTTTCTGTAAGTCTTCACAAGGTTTTCACACACTGTTGCTGGTATTTTGGCCCATTCCTCCATGCAGATCTCCTCTAGAGCAGTGATGTTTTGGGGCTGTTGCTGGGCAACACAGACTTTCAACTCCCTCCAAAGATTTTCTATGGGGTTGAGATCTGGAGACTGGCTAGGCCACTCCAGGACCTTGAAATGCTTCTTACGAAGCCACTCCTTCATTGCCCGGGCGGTGTGTTTGGGATCATTGTCATGCTGAAAGACCCAGCCACATTTAATCTTCAATGCCCTTGCTGATGGAAGGAGGTTTTCACTCAAAATCTCACGATACATGGCCCCATTCATTCTTTCCTTTACACGGATCAGTCGTCCTGGTCCCTTTGCAGAAAAACAGCCCCAAAGCATGATGTTTCCACCCCCATGCTTCACAGTAGGTATGATGTTCTTTGGATGCAACTCAGCATTCTTTGTCCTCCAAACACGACGAGTTGAGTTTTTACCAAAAAGTTATATTTTGGTTTCATTTGACCATATGACATTCTCCCAATCCTCTTCTGGATCATCCAAATGCACTCTAGCAAACTTCAGACGGGCCTGGACATGTACTGGCTTAAGCAGGGGGACACGTCTGGCACTGCAGGATTTGAGTCCCTGGCGGCGTAGTGTGTTACTGATGGTAGGCTTTGTTACTTTGGTCCCAGCTCTCTGCAGGTCATTCACTAGGTCCGCCCGTGTGGTTCTGGGATTTTTGCTCACCGTTCTTGTGATCATTTTGACCCCACGGGGTGAGATCTTGTGTGGAGCCCCAGATCGAGGGAGATTATCAGTGGTCTTGTATGTCTTCCATTTCCTAATAATTGCTCCCACAGTTGATTTCTTCAAACCAAGCTGCTTACCTATTGCAGATTCAGTCTTCCCAGCCTGGTGCAGGTCTACAATTTTGTTTCTGGTGTCCTTTGACAGCTCTTTGGTCTTGGCCATAGTGGAGTTTGGAGTGTGACTGTTTGAGGATGTGGACAGGTGTCTTTAATACTGATAACAAGTTCAAACAGGTGCCATTAATACAGGTAACGAGTGGAGGACAGAGGAGCCTCTTAAAGAAGAAGTTACAGGTCTGTGAGAGAGAGAAATCTGGCTTGTTTGTAGGTGACCAAATACTTATTTTCCACCATAATTAGAAATCCTACAATGTGATTTTCTGGATTTTTTTTTCTCAATTTGTCTGTCATAGTTGACGTGTTCCTATGATGAAAATTACAGGCCTCTCTCATCTTTTTAAGTGGGAGAACTTGCACAATTGGTGGCTGACTAAATACTTTTTTTCCCCACTGTAAATTCATTTTTATCAGGTTTTTGCTTTGGCTGACCGTATTTTTTAAAATTTACATTTGTCAATAAAACTCATGAATGCAACTGTTTATGTCAAATAGTGTTGTGTTATACTTGTAGCCCTGGTTGTCCTGAAAATAAATAGTAAAACACTTAAATGTGAGGCTAAATATAAGGGCTGGATATACAGGTAAATGAAAGTCAGATGAATGAAAAGCCGATTTTTGCTGGGGTCTCGGGACTGATAGGGTTACAAGATGACATTATGTCATACCCTGGGTTGTTCTGAACAGAAGGAGCCTATGTTTGTCTATTGTGAAGAACATTTGCCACGGAACACTCACCTGAATACATCATGCACTTGAATATACCCGCTGGGCACAGATGTCAATTCAAGGTCTATTTCACATTGGTTCAACATAATTTCATTGAAATAACGTGGAAACCACGTTGATTAAACCAGTGTGTGCCCAGTGGGTATGCGCACCAAAATGACGATCTATTTCTCTGAATTGACTTGTGAAAGCCTGACATTGTAAGATCTTATTTTATATCTTAGGTAGTCATGTTGGTAACAGAACAAGCTTTCAAATGACCACCTGACCCATATTGCGATTTAAAATGCGCCATTTTTGGATTGCGTAATCAACAACAGCAATTGTGTGATGGCGGGGATGCAGTTTTGTGTTCCAAACAAAACAACTACAAGTGAGCTTGCTCTAGTTCCTCAACGGAACAGCTAGGAGAGCTACAAAAAAGCACCTTATGTTGAAGACTCTTCTTTGAGTCATAAAAGTACATTGAAATTACTTAGGAACTGTGCACACAGTTAGTCCTCTCACTCAAACCCTTGTCATTTCTTAGTCTTATGTTGCAACTTGCACCTAACTCAGATTGTCCAGTAATATTTCTATCATGTTACTGAATGTATCCAAAGTATTTTCAGATTTCGTTAACAACAAATGTGATGAACAGTGTAATGTTTGGATTTAGTCTGGTGTCAGTCTGGTGTCAGCTGAACTGTTGTGTCCTCAACTTTGGTGTAATAATTTCTCCATAATCTCCAAACTGTTCCCTTTAAATTTCTACCATGCTTATGCATATACTTTTAATATCCATATAGGCCAATTCCCATGAGTGAAAAGGGTTCAAACAGAACTTCACTCCTCCTGCAAACATGCCCTGCTGTTTGGGCTGTACCTCACAGAAACACAGAGTTAAAGCTTTCCTAAACACAACTTAAAAACACACAGAAAACACACACACAGCAAACAAACAGAATCATTATCAGATTTCACATGTACATACTAAGGGAGGTTTCTGATCACTTTTCCACAGTCAGTTGCTAAAAAGGTGAACAGCACATTTGCATCTGGGTGAGAATCTATTCTGTGACAGAATCATACAGTCTTGTGACATACCGAAATGAGAGACGGAAACTACAGTATTGGGGCAGCCGAGTGGGAATTGCCATCTCTCTGCCCTGTATCTGTAGTTATTGTTAGCTAGCTCTTGTCAGGTCAGGTGGTCAGTTTCACACACCTATCTCCAGTTTTACTTTAGCAGGTATCATGAGCAAGTCACTCTGGATAAGAGCGTCTGCTAAATGACGTAAATGTAAATGTAATGTAAATGAGCAGGTGCCATGAGCAGGTATCATGAGCCGATGTCATGAGCGGCAGACCTGTTTATACCATGTCTTCTCAGTCTTACACCGAAACCTCCAAATGTCAAATGTCATCTCTGTCTGCATTTCTACAGTGCATTCGGAAAGTATTCAGACCCCTTGACTTTTTCCCAATTTTATTCTAAAATTGATTAAATCATTTTATTTCTCATCAATCCACACACAATAATACATAATGACGAAGCAAAAACAGGTGTGCCAAGCTTGTAGCGTCATACCCAAGAAGAGTCGATGCTGTAATTGCAGCCAAAGGTGCTTCAACAAAGTACTGAGTAAAGGGTTTGAATACTTATGTAAATGTGATATTCAGTTTAAAAAGATTGTGCAAAGCTGTCATCAAGGCAAAGGGTGGCTATTTGAAGAATCTCAAATATAAAATATAGTTTGAATTGTTTAACACTTTCTTGGTTACTACATGATTCCATATGTGTTATTTCATAGTTGTGATGTCTTCACTGTTATTCTACAATGTACAAAATAATACAAATAAAGAAAAACCCTGGAATGAGTAATTGTGTCCACACTTTTGACTGGTACTGTATATTCACCTTCTGAGGAAGTTTGTAAAGATAGTCAGAATACAATTTATAGAAATATTACATCAATATTCTTGTCAGGACCTTGTGTCTACAGACCGCAAAAGCATGAACATCATGACCACACACACTCACATAGGAAATCTCACCCCAGGTATCCTATCTCCATGGTGCTTGCTGATACATGATTACCATGGCGACAGAGACAAACATCAGTTGCGAAGGATGTGGTTCGAGCGAGCATAGAGTTGTGTCTTGTATCTCCAGGGTGTTGGACACTGGCAGAGCAACATGCCATGAGGATGTATAGGGACAAGAAGTGTATACGGACAAGAGGGACGACAAGAGCGAGGGGTGCCTAGGGCTGAGCCGCCCGCTTCAATGCCTGTCTACATATCTCTCTGTCTGAACCTATCTCTCTCTCCCTCCATCTCTCACTCTTCTCATGGGTTTGACTATACACAGCATTGATCATTAATGGACATACTGAGTTATTCAGTTAAAGTTTGTTCTCCCTCCACGTAACATCAATATTCTTAGAGTGTCATGACTTGTTATCTACAGACTGCAAAAGCATAAACATCATGAGCACACACACACACAGGAAATCTCACCCTAGATATTCTATCTCCATGGTGCTTGTTGATTCAGGATTACCATGGCGACAGGCACAAACATCAGTTGCGAAAGATGTGGTGTGAGCGAGAATTGTGTTGTGTCTCCAGGGTGTTGGGCACTGGCAGAGCAACAGGTCACGAGGATCAGTGTTTAGGGAAAAGAGGGACCACGAAAGCGAGGGGTCCCCCTAGTGCTTAGCCACCCCTTCAATGCCTGTCTACATCTATCTCTGTCCGAACCTCTCTCTCTCCATCTCTCTCTCTTCTCATGGGTTTGGGGCTACAATTCGCCTACCGCCCTGACAGATCCATGGCCGACGCAATCTCCATTGCACTGCACACTACCCTCACCCACCTGGACAAAAGGAATGTATATGTGAGGATGCTGTTCATCGACTCTAGCTTGACCTTCAATACCATAGTGCCCTCTAAGCTCACCACAAAGCTCACGGCCCTGGGACTGAACGTTTCCCTATGCAACTTGGTCCTGGACTTCCTGACGGCCTCACACAGTTCCAACTCTATCATCAAGTTCGCTGACGATAGTAGTAGTCCTAAATGCCAACAACAACGAGATGGCCTACAGGGAGGAGGTAGGCACTCTGATGGCGTGGTGCCAGGTAAACAACCTCAACATCAACAAAACAAAGGAGCTGATTGTGGACTTCAGGAGGAACCCATCCACATCAACGGGGCCGCTGTGGAGATGGTCAAAAACTTCAAGTTCCTCGGCTTATATATCTCCGACGTGCTGAAATGGTCAAATCATAAGGACACCGTGGCGAAGAAGGCATGACAGCGACTCTTCAACCTCAGGATGCTGAAGAAATTTGGCCTGTCCCCGAGGGCCCTCACAGTGTTCTACAGGAGCACCATCGAGAGCATTCTGTCGGGCTGCATCACAGCCTGGTATGGCTACACCACCGCCGGGAACCGCAAGGCGCTAAAGAGGGTGGTACGCTCAGCCGAACATACCATTGGGTGCACACTGCCTGCCCTCCAGGACACCTACAACACCAGGTGTCACAGAAAGTCTAAGAAGATCATCAGGGATCCCAGCCACCCGAGCCATGGCCTGTTTTCCCCATTTCCATCATTTAGATGGGGGCAGTATAGGAACATCATGGCAAAAACTGTAAGACTGGCCAATAGCTTCAACCTTCCCACCCGGACATCCTTGATTATATCTTTCTTGTTTTATTTGTCTTGCATTGTTGGAGCTCGTTCAAGACTTTCACTGTACCTTGTAAATACACCTGCGCCCCTGTACATGTGACTATTAAACTGTCTAATGCAGAGGTCTCCAACCTTTTCTAGCATGAGAGCTACTTAATAAAAATGTAACATGTTGCGACCTTCTCATTTTTTTTCATATCTCTCAGAGATATCATTGTTCTCCAGAGGGAGGTGAGAAACACTGGACGCTCAAGAGAATGGGGCCTTTTAATTAAAACCTAGATCATATGTGATTCTTGACGAATCATCATCAACAGCCACACACTTAATTCTCTTTTTAATTCATTAATGTTGCGATTTGTTACAGATCTGATACATATCAATATGGAGCTAGAGAGATCATCATATCAATGACAAGGCTAACTGAGTACTCATCCCACTACAGGCACGACATAACGTCCAGTAGCTGATATTCAAATGATACTCAACTGTACCCAGAGGGGTAGGAACGCCTGAATGTTGATGCTGTTCAATAACTACAGTGGCTTGCGAAAGTATTCACCCCCCTTGGAATTTTTCCTATTTTGTTACCTTACAACCTGGAATTAAATTTGATTTTGGGGGGTTTGTATCATTTGATTTACACAACATGCCTACCACTTTGAAGATGCAAAATATTTTTTCTTGTGAAACAAACAAGAAATAAGATTTTTTTTAAACAGAAAACCTGAGCGTGCATAACTATTCATCCCCCCAAAGTCAATACTTTGTAGAGCCACCTTTTGCAGCAATTACACATGCAAGTATCTTGGGGTATGTCTCTATAAGCTTGGCACATCTAGCCACTGTGATTTTTGCCCATTCTTCAAGGCAAAACTGCTCCAGCTCCTTCAAGTTGGATGGGTTCCGATAGTGTACAGCAATCTTTAAGTCATACCACAGATTCTCAATTGGATTGAGGTCTGGGCTTTGACTATTCCAAGATATTTAAATGTTTCCCCTTAAACCACTTGAGTGTTACTTTAGCAGTATGCTTAGGGTCATTGTCCTGCTGGAAGGTGAACCTCCGTCCCAGTCTCAAATCTCTGGAAGACTGAAACAGGTTTCCCTCAAGAATTTCCATGTATTTAGCTCCATCCATTATTCATTAAATTCTGACCAGTTTCCCAGTCCCTGCCGATGAAAAACATCCCCACAGCATGATGCTGACACCACCATGCTTCACTGTGGGGATGGTGTTCTCGGGGTGATGAGAGGTGTTGGGGTTGCGCCAGACATAGTGTTTTCCTTGATGGCCAAAAAGCAATCTCATCTGACCAGAGTACCTTCTTCCATATGTTTGGGGAGTCTCCCACATGCCTTTTGGCGAACACCAAACATGTTTGCTTATTTTTTTCAATAAGCAATGGCTTTTTTTCTGGCCACTCTTCCGTAAAGCCCAGCTCTGTGGCGTGTACGGCTTAAAGTGGTCCTATGGACAGATACTCCAATCTCCGCTGTGGAGCTTTGCAGCTCCTTCAGGGTTATCTTTAGTCTCTTTGTTGCCTCTCTGATTAATGCCCTCCTTGCCTGGTCCTTGAGTTTTGGTGGGCGGGTCGCTCTTGGCAGGTTTGTTGTGGTGCCATATTCTTTCCATTTTTTTATAATGGATTTAATGGTGGTCCGTGGGATGTTCAACGTTTCAGATATTTTTTTATAACCCAACCCTGATCTGTACTTCTCCACAACTTTGTCCCTGACCTGTTTGGAGAGCTCCTTGGTCTTCATGGTGCCGCTTGCTTGGTGGTGCCCCTTGCTTAGTGGTGTTGCAGACTCTGGGGCCTTTCAGAACAGCTGTATATATACTGAGATCATGTGACAGATCATGTGACACTTAGATTGCACACAGGTGGATTTTATTTAACTAATTATGTGACTTCTGAAGGTAATTGGTTGCACCAGATCTTATTTAGGGGCTTCATAGCAAATGGGGTGAATACATATGCACGCACCACTTTTCCGTTATTTATTGTTTAGAATTTTTTGAAACGGGTTATTTTTTCATTTCACTTCACCAATTTTGACTATTTTGTGTATGTCCATTACATGAAATCCAAATAAAAATCCATTTAAATTACAGGTTGTAATGCAACAAAGTAGGAAAAACGCCAAGGGGGATGAATACTTTTGCAAGACACTGTAAGTCAGATGATAGAACAGAAAATAGGAAAGTGTGCTGTTGGCAATGCAGATTCTGTGGCAATGTGAAAATACTCTTGAATACATTTGATAATGAGCTGGTAATAAATATAATAAATAAATTGTCTAGCCTTATTATTAAAAAATAAAGTAATTATCACTCTTAGGACTGCCAGATGTGCATTCAATTCAAAGTCCACACTGACAAGTCATTGTTTTATCATTTGATATGTATGTCATTATAAGATGAACTCTGACTATCGTCAGCCACGTGACTGTTTTACTTTACTGTCATGATCTATTTGGTGTGTGTCAGCCATCTTAATAAAGTTTGACCTGTCAGGTGACTCTGCAGCCATCTTGCTTGGGACTTGGGCTGCAGTCCAAACTCAAAGTAGACAGCCCTCGGCCCTAAACACTCAGACCTTAATGCCGTTTTACATCACCATATCCGAGTGTACCTTAAATGTCCCTTGCCCAAGCGAGAGAGAGTGATGATCGGAGAGACAACATCCTTGATGGAAAGTTGAGCTTAAAAACAACCAACCTAAAGCTATTAATGTACAGTGGGGAAAAAAAGTATTTAGTCAGCCACCAATTGTGCAAGTTCTCCCACTTAAAAAGATGAGAGAGGCCTGTAATTTTCATCATAGGTACACGTCAACTATGACAGACAAAATGAGGAAAACAAATCCAGAAAATCACATTGTAGGATTTTTTATGAATTTATTTGCAAATTATGGTGGAAAATAAGTATTTGGTCAATAACAAAAGTTTCTCAATAATTTGTTATATACCCTTTGTTGGCAATGACACAGGTCAAACGTTTTCTGTAAGTCTTCACAAGGTTTTCACACACTGTTGCTGGTATTTTGGCCCATTCCTCCATGCAGATCTCCTCTAGAGCAGTGATGTTTTGGGGCTGTCACTGGGCAACACGGACTTTCAACTCCCTCCAAAGATTTTCTATGGGGTTGAGATCTGGAGACTGGCTAGGCCACTCCAGGACCTTGAAATGCTTCTTACGAAGCCACTCCTTCGTTGCCCGGGCAGTGTGTTTGGGATCATTGTCATGCTGAAAGACCCAGCCACGTTTCATCTTCAATGCCCTTGCTGATGGAAGGAGGTTTTCACTCAAAATCTCACGATACATGGCCCCATTCATTCTTTCCTTTACACGGATCAGTCGTCCTGGTCCCTTTGCAGAAAAACAGCCCCAAAGCATGATGTTTCCACCCCCATGCTTCAGAGTAGGTATGGTGTTCTTTGGATGCAACTCAGCATTCTTTGTCCTCCAAACACGACGAGTTGAGTTTTTACCAAAAAGTTATATTTTGGTTTCATCTGACCATATGACATTCTCCCAATCCTCTTCTGGATCATCCAAATGCACTCTAGCAAACTTCAGACGGGCCTGGACATGTACTGGCTTAAGCAGGGGGACACGTCTGGGTCGATTTGAGTCCCTGGCGGCGTAGTGTGTTACTGATGGTAGGCTTTGTTACTTTGGTCCCAGCTCTCTGCAGGTCATTCACTAGGTCCCCTGTGTGGTTCTGGGATTTTTGCTCACCGTTCTTATGATCATTTTGACCCCACGTGGTGAGATCTTGCGTGGAGCCCCAGATCGAGGGAGATTATCAGTGGTCTTGTATGTCTTCCATTCCCTAATAATTGCTCCCACAGTTGATTTCTTCAAACCAAGCTGCTTACCTATTGCAGATTCAGTCTTCCCAGCCTGGTGCCGGTCTACAATTTTGTTTCTGGTGTCCTTTGACAGCTCTTTGGTCTTGGCCATAGTGGAGTTTGGAGTGTGACTGTTTGAGGTTGTGGACAGGTGTCTTTTATACTGATAACAAGTTCAAACAGGTGCCATTACTACAGGTAACGAGTGGAGGACAGAGGTGCCTCTTAAAGAAGAAGTTACAGGTCTGTGAGAGCCAGAAATCTTGCTTGTTTGTAGGTGACCAAATACTTATTTTCCACCATCATTTGCAAATACATTCTTTAAAAATCCTACAATGTGTTTTTCTGGAAAAAAATTCTCAATTTGTCTGTCATAGTTGACGTGTACCTATGATGAAAATTACAGGTCTCTCTCATCTTTTTAAGTGGGAGAACTTGCACAACTGGTGGCTGACTAAACACTTTTTTTCCCCACTGTACCTACTAAGCTAACGTAGCTTGCTAGCACTCCTGTCAGGTAGCTAGCTACAGTTACCCATATCTGATTAGCTAGTTTTATAGTTTGGTAAATGATTACAATAAATGTAAGAATTCCCCAAAATATGTTTATGAAGCTAGTTAAGCTTTATAGGCTCCTCACTACGAGACTAAGCCAATTTGCCAACGCTAAAATCAATGTAATCTATACAGTGACGGAAAAAAGTATTTGATCCCCTGCTGATTTTGTACATTTGCTGACAAAGATATGAGCAGTCTATAATTTTAATGGTAGGTTTATTTGAACAGTGAGAGACAGAATAACAACAAAAAATCCAGAAAAATGCATGTCAAAAATGTTATTTAATTGATTTGCATTTTAATGAGGGAAATAAGTATTTGACCCCTCTGCAAAACATGACTTAGTACGTGGTGGCAAAACCCTTGTTGGCAATCAAAGAGGTCAGACGTTTCTTGTAGTTGGCCACCAGGTTTGCACACATCTCAGGAGGGATTTTATCCCACTCCTCTTTGCAGATCTTCTCCAAGTCATTAAGGTTTCGAGGCTGACGTTTGGTAACTCGAACCTTCAGCTCCCTCCACAGATTTTCTATGGGATTAAGGTCTGGAGACTGGCTAGGCCACTCCAGGACCTTACTGTGCTTCTTCTTGAGCCACTCCTTTGTTGCCTTGGCCGTGTGTTGTGGGTCATTGTCATGCTGGAATACCCATCCACGACCCATTTTCAATGCCCTGGCTGAGGGAAGGAGGTTCTCACCCAAGATTTGACGGTACATGGCAACGTCCATCGTCCCTTTGATGCGGTGAAGTTGTCCTGTCCTCTTAGCAGAAAAACACCCCCAAAGCATAATGTTTCCACCTCCATGTTTGATGGTGGGGATGGTGTTCTTGGGGTCATAGGCAGCATTCCTCCTCCTCCAAACACGGCGAGTTGAGTTCATGGCAAAGAGCTCGATTTTGGTCTCATCTGACCACAACACTTTCACCCAGTTCTCCTCTGAATCATTCAGATGTTCATTGGCAAACTTCAGACGGGCATGTATATGTGCTTTCTTGAGCAGGGGGACCTTGCGGGCGCTGCAGGATTTCAGTCCTTCACGGCGTAGTGTGTTACCAATTGTTTTCTTGGTGACTATGGTCCCAGATGCCTTGAGATCATTGACAAGATCCTCCCGTGTAGTTCTGGGCTGATTCCTCACTGTTCTCATGATCATTGCAACTCCACGAGGTGAGATCTTGCATGGAACCCCAGGCCGAGGGAGATTGACAGTTATTTTGTGTTTCTTCCATTTGCGAATAATCGCACCAACTGTTGTCACCTTCTCACCAAGCTGCTTGGCGATGGTCTTGTAGCCCATTCCAGGCTTTGGTAGGTCTACAATCTTGTCCCTGACATCCTTGGAGAGCTCTTTGGTCTTGGCCATGGTGGAGAGTTTGGAATCTGATTGATTGATTGCTTCTGTGGACAGGTGTCTTTTATACAGTGGTCCTCTGTAGCTCAATTGGTAGAGCATGGCGCTTGTAACGCCAGGGTAGTGGGTTCGATCCCCGGGACCACCCATACGTAAACATTTATGCACACATGACTGTAAGTCGCTTTGGATAAAAGCGTCTGCTAAATGGCATATTATTTTATTATTATACAGGTAACAAGCTGAGATTAGGAGGACTCCCTTTAAGAGTGTGCTCCTAATCTCAGCTCGTTACCTGTATAAAAGACACCTGGGAGCCAGAAATCTTTCTGATTGAGAGGGGGTCAAATACTTATTTCCCTCATTAAAATGCAAATCAATTTATAACATTTTTGACATGCGTTTTTCTGGATTTTTTTGTTGTTATTCTGTCTCTCACTGTTCAAATAAACCTACCATTAAAATTATAGACTGATCATTTCTTTGTCAGTGGGCAAACGTACAAAATTAGCAGGGGATCAAACACTTTTTTCCCTCACTGTATATTCTTTTTAGCAAGCTAGCTTCATTATTTTGGCTGACATGCCGGAAATACAGCCCTGTTGATTAAATTTGACACGTGACTACAGTTTGCATTGAATTGTGGCTCATATTGTATCAATCTCAGAAGTGATCAAAGTTCTTCACTCGTTCCCTCAAGCTAAATCGAGGTCCGAGGGGGCACTTAAGATGGCAATCAAACTGCATCTGGTTTTGACATGGATTCCCCGAGGGAAAGTGGCTAGCGTGAGGGCTGAGGGGGTAGAAATAACATCTTTGGACTGCAGCCTTGGCCACTTTGATAGTTGGTTTTGAGATTTAAATTGCATAATTCACAACATGTAGTCTAGGTAAGGAAAAAGGCCTGAAATTGTCCATGAACTCAAGTTAACACAGAAAAATAAGACATCAGCTGATTTTATATTGTTAAATTGCTGACAAATTACTGTACCAGAGCAAAATCGTTTTTGTAACCAGGTTTCCATCCAACCTTTTTATGCGAGTAAAGTACATGTAGATTTTTTTTTTTTTTTACACAGGCCCGATGGAAACTGTATATTTCTGGTAAACTTTCCAAAATACGCTAGATAAGGTGAGAGCTTTTTGTGTCTGTAAAATTAATTATGCGAGAAATGGTGGCCATTATCAACAAATGTTGATTTAATAACCATCATATCGAAGTAAACTTGGAGTCACGCAATGATTTGTTGTGTGGTCCTCCCACTACGACTCGGGAAAGCATGCAGTTTATTAGGCTACAGAAGTTTTGATGAACTTCACAGGATGGTGAAAGTGCATGGTGATGAGCTTGATGCTTACCTGCCTAAAAATAATCTTGCTCTTTTGTCCATAATAATCTCATCAAGTAGGTAGCCTACCCAAACTGTATCTGCAAGCTGTTGGATAGAGCGCACGTGCCAAGAATAGAGTGGGCAAATTCGCTATATAATGCAAAATATTTGTGACAAAATGATCAGAACAGTTAAAAATGCAATGGAAACCAATTTTACTTGTATGTTTTATTCGGTACATGGAAATTTAAAAGTTATTTTTATAGAAACACAACTCTGTTGGGAAAATGTGCATCTAGTTTTTATGTGGATGAACAAAGATATTTGCATGAAAATCTATCACCAATTGGATGGAAACCTAGCTGTCTGCACTATTTTACAGCTCTCTATGTTTTGATGTAATGATTCACCACAGTTCAGCCTGGTCTCATAGACTAGGCACAACATAGTAAACGTAAATCCGGCACCCTCAAATTACACTGAACAAAAATATAAACGCAAAATGCTAACTTTTCACTATTTTTACAGAGTTGTAGTTCAAATAAGGAAATCAGTTAGTTGAAATAAATAATTAGGCCCTAATATATGGATTTCACATGACTGGGAATACAGATATGCATCTGTTGGTCACAGATACCTTAAAAAAAAGAAGGGGCGTGGATCAGAAAACCAGTCAGTATCTCATGTGACCACCATTTGCCTCATGCAGCGCGACACATCTCCTTGGCATAGAGTTGATCAGGCTGTTGATTGTGGCTTGTGGAATGTTGTCCCACTCCTTTTCAATGGATGTGCGAAGTTTCTGGATATTGGCGGGAACTGGAACCAGCTGTCATACACGTCGATCCAGAGCATCCCAAACATGCTCAATGGGTGACATGTCTGGGGAGTATGCAGGACATGGAAGAACTGGGATGTTTTCAGCATCCAGGAATTGTGTATAGATCCTTGCGACATGGTGCTGTGTATTCTCATGCTGAAACATGAGGTGATGGCGGCAGATGAATGGCACGACAATGGGCCTCAGGATCTCGTCACGCTATCTCTGTGCATTCAAATTGCCTTTGATAAAATGCAATTGGTTCGCTGTCTGTAGCTTATGCCTGCCCATACCATAACCCCACCGCCACCATGGGGCACACTGTTCACAACGTTGACATCAGCAAACCGCTTGCACACACAATGCCATACATGCTGTCTGCCATCTGCCTGGTATAGTTGAAACTGGGATTAATCTGTGAAGAGCACACTTCTCCAGAGTGCCAGTCGCCATCGAAGGTGATCATTTGCCCACTGAAGTCAGTTACGTCGTCGAACTGCAGTCAGGTCAAGGCCCTGGTGAGGACTACGAGCATGCAGATGAGCATTCCTGAGACGGTTTCAGACAGTTTGTGCAGAGAATTTTTGGTTGTGAAACCCACAGTTTAATCAGCTGTCCAGGTGGCTGGTCTCAGATGATCCCGCAGGTGAAGAAGCCGGATATGGAGGTCCTGGTCTTGCGTGGTTACATGTGGTCTGCGGTTGTGAGGCCGGTTGGACATACTGTAAAATTATCCAAAATGACATTGCTTAAAGAAAAATAACTCTTATGGTAGAGAAATGAGCATTCAATTCTCTGGCAACAGCTCTTGTGGATATTCCTGCAGTCAGGATGCCAATTGCACGCTCCCTCAAAACTTGAGACATCTGTGGCATTGTGTTGTGTGACAAAACTGCACATTTTAGAGTGGCCTTTTATTGTCCCCAGCACAAGGTCCACCTGTGTAATGATCATGCTGTTTAATCAGCTTCTTGATATGCCTCACCTGTCAAGTGGATTATCTTGACAAAGGAGAAATGCTCACTAACAGGGATGTAAACAAATTTGAGCACAACATTTGAGAGAAATAAGGTTTATGTACATATGGAAAATTTCTGGGTTATTTTATTTCAGCTCATCAAACATGGGACCAACGTTTACATTGCCACATGCGCCGAATACAACAGGTGTAGACATTACAGTGAATTGCTTACTTATAAGCCCTTAACCAACAATGCAGTTTAAGAAAAAAATTCAAATAACAAATAATTAAAGAGCAGCAGTAAAATAAAATAACAGTAGGGAGGTTGTGGTCCTCTGTAGCTCAATTGGTAGAGCATGGCACTTGTAATGCCAGGGTAGTGGGTTCAATCCCCAGGACCACCCATACGTAAAAATGTATGCACACATGACTGTAAGTCGCTTTGGATAAAAGTGTCTGCTAAATGGCATATATTATTATTATTGTTATATACAGGGGGTACTGGTACAGAGTCAATGTGCGGGGGCACCGGTTAGTCGAGGTAATTGAGGTAATATGTACATGTGGGTAGAGTTAAAGTCACTATGCATAAATAATAAACAGAGTAGCAGCAGCGTAAAAGAGGGGGTTGGGGTGGGGGGGCAATGCAAATAGTCCAGGTAGCCATGATTAGCTGTTCAGGAGTCTTATGGCTTGGGGGTAGAAGCTGTTAAGAAGCCTTTTGGACCTAGACTTGGCGCTCCGGTACCACATGCCGTGCGGTAGCAGAGAGAACAGTCTATGACTAGGTTGGCTGGAGTCTTTGATACGTTTAGTATGGTTACATGAGACAGATGGTTCCTTAAGGCAAAAACTAAAGTAGGGTGGTTGGTCGGGGTGGAAGGCTGGGCGTATAATAGTTAGCTTAGACCTTCTAACTGTCTGACTGCAGTTTGCTTTGCCACCCACAGCACAGAGTTGTGGAGAGTGAACGCACTCAAAGCAGTTCCCACATCAACCCGGTACGTTAACTGATGACATATCACATTTAGAAAATAAACCAACATTTAGGTCACCAGTTTAACTGCCTGGCCCAGCCCTTTGGTGTACACTAGATTCCTAGCAGAGGCAGGAAGTTGAACAGGAAGTTACTTTAGACACATGCACACACACCACGCACACACACACACACACAACCACAAACCCCTCCCCACACACACAAACATACACACACACACCACAATGTCCCTAAACTAGAGAAAAACAACCCCTGGCCTCACAGACCTGCCCAGAGTGGATCAAAGTGAACACAGCGTTTGGACAGCTGAAAAGAGAGGGAACCCATGATTCAGAGGTGTTACCATTAGCATGCAGGGAGAGTGGCCATGAGCTGCTTTGTCACTCCAAGATCCTGCTATTCCAGGCAGTGACACTAGAAAAGCTGCCATTGTCAGTTAATGGAGTTGAAAGGGCCAGAGTCCAGGGAGGGTCTGGATATACAGAGGCTGCTAGTTGGGAGAAAAGGGAGGTTTTACACAGCGCATGCCAGAACCTCCAGCTGCTCTGATTGGAAGAGATAGGCTCCTCTCTCTCCTGTAGCTACAGTGAGGGAATTAAGTATTAGATCCCCTGCTGATTTTGTACGTTTGCCCACTGACAAAGACATACTAATAACAATAATAATATGCCATTTAGCAGACGCTTTTATCCAAAGCGACTTACAGTCATGAGTGCACACATTTTTACGTATGGGTGGTCCCGGGGATCGAACCCACTACCCTGGCGTTACAAGCGCCATGCTCTACCAATTGAGGTACAGAGGACCACAACCTGCCTACTGTTATTTTATTTTACTGCTGCTCTTTAATCAGACTATAATTGTAATGGTAGGTTTATTTGAACAGTGAGAGACAGAATAACAACAAAAAAATCCAGAAAAACGCATGTCAAAAATGTTATAAATTGATTTGAATTTTTATGAGGGAAATAAGTATTTGACCCCTCTGCAAAACATGACTTAGTACTTGGTGGCAAAACCCTTGTTGGCAATCACAGAGGTCAGACCTTTCTTGTAGTTGGCCACCAGGTTTGCACACATCTCAGGAGGGATTTTGTCCCACTCCTCTTTGCAGATCTTCTCCAAGTCATTAAGGTTTCGAGGCTGACGTTTGGCAACTCAAACCTTCAGCTCCCTCCACAGATTTTCTATGGGATTAAGGTCTGGAGACTGGCTACGCCACTCCAGGACCTTAATGTGCTTCTTCTTGAACCACTCCTTTGTTGCCTTGGCCGTGTGTTTTGGGTCATTGTCATGCTGGAATACCCATCCACGAACCATTTTCAATGCCCTGGCTGAGGGAAGGAGGTTCTCACCCAAGATTTGACGGTACATGGCCCCGTCCATCGTCCCTTTGATGCGGTGAAGTTGTCCTGTCCCCTTAGCAGAAAAACACCCCCAAAGCATAATGTTTCCACCTCCATGTTTGATGGTGGGGATGGTGTTCTTGGGGTCATAGGCAGCATTCCTCCTCCTCCAAACACGGCGAGTTGAGTTGATGCCAAAGAGCTCCATTTTGGTCTTATCTGACCACAACACTTTCACCCAGTTCTCCTCTGAATCATTCAGATGTTCATTGGCAAACTTCAGACGGGCCTGTATATGTGCTTTCTTGAGCAGGGGGATCTTGCGGGCGCTGCAGGATTTCAGTCCTTCACAGCGTAGTGTGTTACCAATTGTTTTCTTAGTGACTATGGTCCCAGCTGCCTTGAGATCATTGACAAGATACTCCTGTGTAGTTCTGGGCTGATTCCTCACTGTTCTCATGATCATTGCATCTTGGCCAAGATAAAGCAAAGCAGTGCGATAAAAACAACAACACCGAGTTACATATGGGGTAAACAAAACATAAAGTCAAAAATACAACAGAAAATATATATACAGTGTGTGCGAATGTAGTAAGTTATGGAGGTAAGGCAATAAATAGGCCATAGTGCAAAATAGTTACAATTTCGTATAATACTGGAATGATAGATGTGCAAAAGATGATGTGCAAATAGAGATACTGGGGTGCAAATTAGCAAAATAAATAACAATATGGGGATGAGGTAGTTGGGTGGGCTAATTTCAGAAAGGCTGTGTACAGGTGCAGTGATCGGTAAGCTGCTCTGACAACTGACGCTTAAAGATAGTGAGGGAGATAAGAGTCTCCAGCTTCAGAGATTTTTGCAGTTCGTTCCAGTCATTGGCAGCAGAGAACTGGAAGGAATGGCGGCCAAAGGAGGTGTTGGCTTTGGGGATGACCAGTGAGATATACCTGCTGGAGCGCAGACTACGGGTGCGTTTTGCTATGGTGACCAGTGAGCTAAGATAAGACAGGGATATGCCTAGCAGTGATTTATAGATGACCTGGAGCCAGTGGGTTTGGCGACTAATATGTAGTGAGGGCCAGCCAACAAGAGCGTACAGGTCACAATGGTGGGTAGTATATGGGGCTTTGGTGACAAAACGGATGGCACTGTGATAGACTACATCCCATTTGCTGAGTAGGGTGTTGGAGGCTATTTTGTAAATGACATCGCCGAAGTCAAGGATCAGTAGGATAGTCAGTTTTACGAGGGCATGTTTGGCAGCATGAGTGGAGGAGGCTTTGTTGCGAAATAGGAAGCCGATTCTAGATCTAACTTTTGATTGGAGATACTTAATGTGAGTCTGGAAGGAGAGATTACAGTCTAACCAGACACCTAGGTATTTGTAGTTGTCCACATACTCTAGGTCAGACCCGCCGAGAGTAGTGATTCTAGTCGGGTGGGCGGGTGCAAGCAGAGTTCGGTTGAAGAGCATGCATTTAGTTTTACTAGTGTTTAAGAGCAGTTGGAGGCTGTGGAAGGAGTGTTGTATGGCATTGAAGCTCGTTTGGAGGTTTGTTAACACAGTGTCCAATGAAGGGCCAAATGTATACAAAATGGTGTCGCCGCATAGAGGTGGATCCGAGCGTCACCAGCAGCAAGAGCGACATCATTGATATACACAGAGAATAGAGTCGGCCCGAGAATTGAACCCTGTGGCACGCCCATAGAGATGGCCAGAGGTCCAGACAACAGGCCCTCAGATTTGACACATTGAACTCTATCTGAGAAGTAGTTGGTGAACCAGGCGAGGCAGTCATTAGAGAAACCAAGACTATTTAGTCTGCCAATAAGAATGCGGTGGTTGACAGAGTCGAAAGCCTTGGCCAGGTCGATGAAAACGGCTGCGCAGTACTGTCTTTTATCGATCGCGTTTATAATATCGTTTAGGACCTTGAGCGTGGCTGAGGTGCACCCATGACCAGCTCGGAAACCGGATTGCATAGCGGAGAAGGTACGGTGGGATTCGAAATGGTCGGTGATCTGTTTGTTAACTTGGCTTTCAAATACTTTCGAAAGGCAGGGCAGGATGGATATAGGTCTATAACAGTTAGGATCTAGAGTGTCACCCCCTTTGAAGAGGGGGATGACCGCGGCAGCTTTCCAATCAGGTTGAACAGGCTAGTAATAGGGGTTGCGACAATTTCGGTGGCTAATTTTAGAAAGAAAGGGTCCAGATTGTCTAGCCCAGCTGATTTGTAGGGGTCCAGATTTTTTAGCTCTTTCAGAACATCAGCTGTCTGAATTTGTGTGAAGGAGAAGCGGGGGGGGGGGGCATGGGCAAGTTGCAGCGGAGGGTGCAGAGCTGGTGGCCGGGGTAGTGGTAGCCAGGTGGAAAGCATGGCCAGCCGTAGCAAAATGCTTGTTGAAATTCTCGATTATTGTAGATTTATCGGTGGTGACAGTGTTTCCTAGCCTCAGTGCAGTGGGCAGTTGGGAGGAGGTGCTCTTATTTTCCATGGGCTTTACAGTGTCCCTAAACTTTTTGGAGTTGGTGCTACAGGATGCAAATTTCTGTTTGAAAAAGCTAGCCTTTGCTTTCCTAACTGATTGTGTATATTGGTTCCTGACTTCCCTAAAAAGTTGCATATCGCTGGGGCTGTTCGATGCTAATGCAGTACGCCACAGGATGTTTTTGTGCTGGTCAAGGGGCAGTCAAGTCTGAGGAGAACCAGGGGCTATATCTGTTCTTAGTTCTGAATTTTTTGAATGGGGCATGCTTATTTAAGATTGAGAGGAAAGCACTTTTAAAGAACAACCAGGCATCCTCTACTGACGGAATGAGGTCAATATCCATCCAGGATACCCGGGCCAGGTCAATTAGAAAGGCCTGCTCGCTAAATTGTTTTAGGGAGCGTTTGACAGTGATGAGGGGTGGTCGTTTGATCGCGGACCCATTACGGACGCAGGCAATAAGGCAGTGATCGCTGAGATCCTGGTTGAAGACAGTGGAGGTGTATTTAGAGGGTAAATTTGTCAGGATGATATCTATGAGCGTGCCCATGTTTACAGATTTAGGGTTGTACCTGGTAGGTTTGTTGATAATTTGTGTGAGATTGAGGGCATCTAGTTTAGATTGTAGGTTGGCCGGGGTGTTAAGCATATCCCAGTTTAGGTCACCAAGCAGTACGAACTCTGAGGATAGATGGGGGGCAATCAGTTCACATATGGTGTCCAGGGCACAGCTTGGGGCTCGTTACCTGTATAAAAGACACCTGGGAGCCAGATATCTTTCTGATTGAGAAGGGGTCAAATGCTTTTTTCCATCATTAAAATGCAAATCAAGTTATAACATTTTTGACATGCGTTTTTCTGGATTTTTTTGTTGTTAATCTGTCTCTCACTGTTCAAATAAACCTACCATTAAAATTATAGACTGATAATTTCTTTGTCAGTGGGCAAACGTACAAAATCAGCAGGGGATCCAATAATTTTTTCCCACACTTTATACACAGCAAATTACACCACACACACTAGTAAACACTGTACACTGGCCACCACCACCACACACATTAGTCAATTTGCAGTTTGTGCTCTCCTGGCTGTCTTATCAGACTTGAAAGCCAAACAGCTCTTTCCCACCTATGTCTGAATTTATCTGATGCATCTCTCTCTCTCTCTCTCTCTCTCTCTCTCTCTCTCTCTCTCTCTCTCTCTCTCTCTCTCGCTCTCTCTCAAATATCAACTATGTCAGTACTGTATATGTACAGTTGTTAAGGAAATACCAGATAAATACTAAAATATTTCCATGGACAGTAGGTACAATTTAAAACATTCTCACACCTGTCTTTTTAAATGGATCAGATTACTCAAAATCCTGATGGTACAGTTTAAACACTGAGGTAAAGACTAATGCTCAGGCACTATTTAAAAGAAAGAAAAATGTTTACAATAAAAAAGCTCCATCTCCTCTATCTCCCGCCTTAGTAGAAGACGGTGCAGTCAGCATGTATGTTGTGGCTAGCCCTCACAGAGCCAATTGTGGTACAGGTGAAACATGAGATCCCCTCACACAAAACTCACCCAAGCAAAGTCACCTGAAGGACTTTATTTTTCTCTTCCCCTTTTTCCCCCCTTTCTCTGACTCTCCCTTATTCTGCCTTTCTTCTTCTCTTGCTTTTTTGAAGGCTTGACATGAAGAGGGTCTGCCTCTCAAATCTCAGTTACCCGTTCATTTGACCCCTTTAATGTTCCAAAGACTTCCAAAACCCACCTCTTACATCCAAATTGAGAAAACATTTGAGTGATTACATGATTACCGACTTGCAGTTAAAGCTCACAGAAATCTCATAGAAAATACACTTAACTACAGCCACTGTATTGGTCCCAGATACAAAATGTAGTCTGGTTGGATATTTGGCTGGGCTTGCCTCATGCATTAAGGATCTGTATACATTACAGAGAGAGGACTTTGGAGCAGCTTTCCCTGGGCTACAAAGACTTCAGTGTATATGAGCAGAGAAGAGAAGGCAGGGGAGGGTGTACAGCCTTGCTACTGAGGAGCCTGAGACTCACAGAGAGGCTTTACAGTGAAATTAATAGGTTTAACAGCGTTCTGGGAGATACAGTAGGGCTGAAATACAAGGTGCTCCCCTGTTTAAGATCAGTTTAAATGAAGATCAGCTTCTGACTGAGGGAAGGGGCCACCAAAAGCACTGAAGAGGGAGATGAGGCCAAATGAATAAGGAAGAGAAGAAATGGCTCAATTTAGTTGTGGCCAGGCTGTGACGCCTACGGGTGGTTGGTTGGTAGAGAAAGCTAGAGGAGGGTAGGACAGGGGACAAACACGTGTCCATGCAGATCAGATGGCAGGTGACGGTAGTCCCAGCTTGCATGGGCACAAGCTCTCTTTGTGAGGCCCTAGTGCTGGTCCACAGGGGCCCCTCACCGCCACTCACCTTGAAATGTGACACCCACAGGTACAGGAGGGGTAGTTACACTAGTGGAGCAAATAAAGGCACACAGACTGGGGGCCGGCTGGCCTCGGTGGTCAGATGTGAGTGTATGTGTGTGTGTCCAGCCTGGACGGACACAGTCTGCTCTGGCCCTGTGCATACCTGTAGCCAGGATCTGATCAATCAGGCCTCGTCTAACGTGCTCTGAGGAGTGGAGTAAAGCTGGCCAATAGCCAAGTCACCCTGAGCAAACAACCCAGCGATGTGAACAGCCATCTTAATGCCTCGCTCATATTTGTTTAACATGGACATTATGCATGGGTGTTGTTTTGTGTCTAAAGCAGAACATTCTTTTGAAAAAGTGTATACATTAGGAGGCCTCATTAACCAAAATATTTTCTGAAGGTCAAATGTCAAGGTACCTCCCTATTGCTTTGGACATTTACAGAACCACATGTGGACTGGATCCACAGTCATGCGAGAGCCATTGTAAAAAACCTCCACTAATAGGATCTTGGTTTACATGGATGTCTGTACGAAACACATGTCCATGAGTCCTGCTGTTAATGATGTGCTTTAGGGGGAAAGACTGCAGCACATTTAGGGTTCAAAGACAAGGCCATGGTAGGACGAGCTGTAACCACCCCAGGACTGCACTCGCCAGACACCCAATTACTGTAAACGCGTGCGCGCGCACACACGCACACGCACACGCGCACACGCACACACGCACACACACACACACACACACACACACACACACACACACACACACACACACACACACACACACACACACACACACACACACACACACACATACACAGCTATCAGCTTCTTACAACACTGCATGCCCTAAGCTTAAACCATGGGGCAAACAAATGTACAGTAGGAACACATGGGGGAAATGTGAGCACACACCCCTCTGTTTCTAAACCTTTAAACACACACACATACAACACACACACACACAAACTACCATATATTTCCTCTCTTGTTTGCCTTTAAACCGTTCATATTTACAGCTGCATGCTGGCTGTGCTTTGGCACAGAGCCAGAGAGGAGGCACAGCGAGACCCCCCCCCATCCACCCCTCCCCCTCCTCCCACCCAGCCAAGTCAAAGAGAGCGAGACTAACCCAGACCTGTTTGATTCAGCACCAACTTCCCCTCCTCAAAAAGATGCCCCTTTGAGACACAAAGAGAGAGAGAGCAAGGCAGAGGTTGATTAATTTCAACCTTTGTGTTAGAAAATGAGCATTAAAGCACGTTGGCATTGCCCTAAGCTGTGGTCAGACAATGAATAGAGCTCTTTCGTATCCTCACATTGATTGAAGAGCAGATAGATGCTTTATGAAGGCTACAGTGGCCATACAATACCAAGATAATTGCCTGAAAGCATGAGAAAAGAGCAGCTGCTCCTCGTTCTCTTCCGTAACACATTCTCCGGTAAGTGTGTGTCTGAGTGTGTGTGTGTGTGTGTGTGAGAGAGAGCACGAGCGACTGTCTCCTTTGTGTCTGTGCTGTCATGAGTCTCAGACTGCCAGACGTAAGCTAGTGTAGCCTAGCGCACGTTGCTTTACCAGCATCTACTCATCCATTTGGCACTGCCTCAGCCTATCGTACCCTCTCCTTATAAACATATATACACACACACTCACACACTATACATACTCATCAACTGCTGAGAAGGAAAACAACAATACTGTCTCGCCATTAAATCCACCAACAAAGGAGAGTGTTTCCAGGCTGAAACCAGAGGGAAAAAAAACCAGACAAAGAGGCGTCCGCTGGGCAGAGAGAGGTGCAGCGCCCTCACCTTGAGCCGGTTCCGACCTGGAGAAGGCCAGTAATCCAAAGGTGACCCCCAAGAGCAAAGTCCACATCCTGGGCTTAGCGTCTGACGATGGCTGGGTGAGTGACTGGAGGAGGAGGAGGTGTGTATGGTCTCTCCAGTGGTCCTGTCTTCTCTGTGCCAGGAATGAGGGGTGGTGGGTGTGTGTGAGAGAGCGATAAAGAGAGAGAGAGGTTGTTGTGGGTGTCTGGTAGCAATTGGAGCTGAGACAGACTTTGGCCAACTTTTTTATATTCTGTGTGAGAGAGGGTTTCAGAGCTTAGTGACACACAGGCAGAAGGGGGAAGAGGGTGGTGCGTGTGTGTACACACCCTTCTGCTTCTACCTCTCTTGCTTCCGACTAGATGGATTTCAGCCTTATTCATATTATAGATCAGTGGCCAATGAGAATTCAAGCTGTGCCTATATGAAACAGAACCATGAACTGACTGTACATACAGTGCGTTCAGAAAGTATTCATACCCCTTGACTTACTCCACATTTTCTTGTGTTACAGCCTCAATTAAATATATGTTTTTCTCACCCATCTACACACAATATTCCATAATGACTAAATGAAAACATGTTTTTAGAAAAAGTAGCAAATTTATCGAAAATGAAATACAGAAATATCTAATTTAAATAAATATTCACACCCCTTAGTCAATACTTTGTAAAAACACCTTTGGCAGCGATTACATCTTTGAGTCATCTTGGGTATGTCTGTATCAGCTTTGCACATCTGGATTTGAGGATTTTCTCCCATTCTTCCTTGCAAGCTCTGTTAAGTTAGATGGGGAGCGATGGTGAACAGTAATCTTCAAGTCTTTCCACAGATTTTCAATGGGATTCAAGTCCGGGCTTTGGCTGGGCCACTCAAGGACTTTCACATTGTTGTTCTGAAGCCATTATTTCGTAGCTTTGGCTGTATGCGTGGAGTCATTGTTCTGTTGGTCGTTTGCACTCTGAAGCAGGTTCTCATCAAGGACTAGCCTGTATTTGGTTCCATTCATTGTTCCTTCTATCCTTAGCGGTCTCCCAGTCCCTGCCACTGAAAAGCATCCCGATAGCATGATGCTGCGAACACCATACTTCACGGTAGGGAGGATGTTAGACGGGTGATGAGCTGTGCCTGGTTTTCTCCAGACTTAGCGCTATGCATTCAGGCCAAAGAGTAAAATTTTTGTCTCACGAGACCACAGAATATTTTTGCCTCTCAGTCTTTCACATGCTTTTTTGCAAACTCCAGGCGTGCTGTCATGTGCCTTTTTCTCAGGAGTGGGTTCCGTCTGGCCACTCTCCAAAAAGCCCAGATTGGTGAAGTGCTGTAGAGACTGTTGTCCTTCTGGCAGGTTCTCCCATCTCAGCCAAGGAACTCTGTAGTTCTCTCAGAGTGGTAATTGTGTTCTTGGTCACCTCCCTGACCAAGGTCCTTCTTGCCCGGTTGCTCAGTTTGGTTGAACGGCCAGTTCTAGACAGAGTCTGGGTAGTTCCATATTTTTTCCATTTCCCAATGATGGAGACCACTGTGCTCTTGGAAACATTGAACACTCTAGAAATAGTTTTATACCCTATTCTATTTCGGAGTTCTACGGACAGTTCCTCGTGGTATAGTTTCTGCACTGACTTGCACCGTCAACTGTGGGACCTGATATGGACAGGTGTGTTTCTTTCTAAATCATGTCCAAACAATTTTTTGGCCACAGGTGGACTCCAATGAAGTTGTAGTGACATCTCAAGGGTGAGCAAAGGGAATTGGATTCACATGAGCTCAATGTGGAGTGTCGTAGCAAAGGGGTGTGAATTTGTTTGTAAATGAGATATTTCTGTATTTCAAAAAAATAAAAAAATAAAAAGAATGTGGAATAAGTCAAGGGGTATGAATACTTTCTGAAGGCACTATAAGCATGACAGGAAATTCTACATTGATGTTCATGTAGATTTATTACAGCTCTAGTGTCAAATGTGAAGGGCCAAACAGCTTTGACTTATTGTTAGATGGAATCTACAGGTAACTGCCAAAATAAAGGAAACACCAACATAAAGTGTCTTATTAGGGCGTTGGGTCACCAAGAGCCGCCAGAACAGCTTCAATGTGCCTTGGCATAGATTCTACAAGTGTCTGGAACTCTATTGGAGGGATTCGACACCATTCTTCCACAAGAAATTCCATACTTTGGTGATTTGTTGATGGTGGTGGACATCGCTAACTCAGGCACCGCTCCAGAATCTCCCATTAGTGTTCAATTGGGTTGAGATCTGGTGACTGAGACACACACAGGAAAAGTTGGTGCTGCAGTGGATAGCTGCCGTCTTACTGGCTCCTGACCAATTCTGCTATTTTGTGTGTTTTTTTATATATAATGTTTCCGGCATAATTTCCTATGACCAAAAACAGCTTCTGGACATCAGAACGCGATCACCAACCTCGATTTGGATGATGATGTCAACTTCAACGAGTCGGCAGCAATGGATGTTATGCTTACCCCGGACCAGGACCTGATCCCAGGGACTCGAAAGAGGAAGCGGCGGCAAAAGAGAGGCCGTGTTATGACTAGACTATGTCGGTGAGCATTTAGACTGCCATTGCCCTCTGTTTTGTTGGCAAACGTACAATAACTCGAGACCAACTGGATGAGCTCCCTTCGAGATTATCCTATCAACATGACCTGAAGAACTTCAATATGTTTCTTAGAGTCGTGGCTGAACAAGGACATGGACAATATACAACCCCCGGGCTTTTCCATGCATCGTCAAGATCAGACTGCAACTTCTGGAAAATTGAGAGGGGGAGGGGTGTGTCTCTTTGTTAACAACAGCTGGTGTGCAATCTCTAATGTTAAGGAAGACCCAAGTTTTTGCTTGCCTGAGTTAGAATACCTCATGATAAGCTGCAGACCATACTATTTACAGAGTTTTCATTTATATTCTTCTTAGCTGTCTATTTCTCACCACAAACCGATGCTGGAACTAAGACCACACTCAATGAGTTGTATAGGGCCATAAGCAAACAAGAAAATGCACATCAAGAGGCGGCACTTCTCGTGGCGATTTTAATGCAGGGAAACTTAAATTCGTTTTACCTCATTTTTACCAGCACGTCACCTGTGCATCTAGAGGCAACAAAACTAGATCACATTCACTCCACACACAGAAACGCATACAAGGCTCTTCCTAGTCCTCCCTTTGGAAAATCTGACCATAACCCCCTAGAGTCAATGCCCGCCCCTGTGGAAATCTAATTAGCATTATAAAACAATCCCCATAAAAATCTGTCATTTAAAGCTAGAGATCTTCTCATTAAATCGTCTGCAGCATCCAAACTATTATGAACCCTCTATGAAAAGATGAGATTCTCACAAACACACTGGAGTTCTCCATTTTGCTTTACAACACAATCATCTTGGGACTCGTCTGAAGTCGGTACAGCCGATCTGCCAACTTCTGTCTGCAGCATCCGAAAAGTTTGGGCTACACACTAATATGTTGAAAGGAGAGACTCTCACAAACTAGTACATGTAAGTTGTTTCGCTTTAGGATGCATGCGGGCCTCACAAGACTCGTCTGAAGGTCACCCGGTACCAGTTGAAAAAATTAATGGAAGTATATATGGAGACTGTTAAGTGGCAAAAATAAGGAGTTAAACACGTTTTTAAAAAAGTACAAATTCCTGATCTTTCTTATATCTCTCATATATACACTACCAGTCAAAAGTTTTAAAACATCAACTCATTCAAGGGTTTTTCTTTATTTTTACTATTTTCACCTGGAATGCTTTTCCAACAGTCTTGAAGGAGTTCCCACATATGCTGAGCACTTGTTGGCTGCTTTTCCTTCACTCTGCAGTCCGACTAATCCCAAACCATTTCAATTTGGTTAAGGCCGAGGGATTGTGGAGTCCAGGTCATCGACCATGAAGGCTTGATTCACACAGTCTCCTCTGAACAGTTGATGTTGAGATGTGTCTCTTAATTGAACTCTGTGAAGCATATACAGTGAGGGAAAAAAGTATTTGATCCCCTGCTGATTTTGTACGTTTGCCCACTGACAAAGAAATGATCAGTCTATAATTTTAATGGTAGGTTTATTTAAAAAGTGAGAGACAGAATAACAACAAAAAAAATACAGAAAAACGCATGTCAAAAATGTTATAAATTGATTAGCATTTGAATGAGGGAAATAAGTATTTGACCCCCTCTCAATCAGAAAGATTTCTGGCTCCCAGGTGTCTTTTATACAGGTAACGAGCTGAGATTAGGAGCACACTCTTAAAGGGAGTGCTCCTAATCTCAGCTTGTTACTTTTATAAAAGACACCTGTCCACAGAAGCAATCAATCAATCAGAATCCAAATTCTCCACCATGGCCAAGACCAAAGAGCTCTCCAAGGATGTCACGGACAAGATTGTAGACCTACACAAGGCTGGAATGGGCTACAAGACCATCGCCAAGCAGCTTGGTGAGAAGGTGACAACAGTTGGTGTGATTATTCGCAAATGGAAGAAACACAAAAGAACTGTCAATCTCCCTCGGCCTGGGGCTCCATGCAAGATCTCACCTCATGGAGTTGCAATGATCATGAGAACGGTGAGGAATCAGCCCAGAACTACATGGGAGGATCTTGTCAATGATCTCAAGGCAGCTGGGACCATAGTCACCAAGAAAACAATTGGTAACACACTACGCCGTGAAGGACTGAAATCCTGCAGTGCCCGCAAGGTCCCCCTGCTCAAGAAAGCACATATACAGGCCCTCAACGTCAGCAAGACAAAGGAAAGGAACTGTTCGTGGACTACAGGAAACGGAGGGCCGAACACGCCCCCATCCAAATTTACAAGGCTGTAGTGGAGCGGGTCGAGAGCTTCAAGTTCCTCAGTGTCCACCTCACTAAGGAATTAACATGGTCCACACACACCAACACAGTCGTGGAGAAGGCACGACAATGCTCTTTCCCCCTCAGGAGGCTGAACAGATTTGGCATGGGCCCTCAGATCCTCAAAACGTTCTACAGCTGCATCACTGAGAGCATATTGACTGGCTGCACCACCGCTTGGTACGGCAACTGCTTGGCACCTGACTGCAAGGCGCTACAGAGGGTAGTGTGTATGGCCCAGTACATCACTGGGGCCGAGCTCCCTGCCATCAAGGATCTCTATACTAGGCAGTGGTAGAGGAAGGCCCTAAAAATGGTCAGACTCTAGCCACGGAAAGCGTTACCGATGCACAAAGTCTGGAACCAACAAGTACCCTACCAATAAGACCACTATTTGGAGAGATTCACCCATTCTTCTCTGCAGATCCTTTCAAGTTCTGTCAGGTTGGATGGGGAGTGTCGCTGCACAGCTTTTTTCAGGTCTCTCCAGAGATGTTAGATCGGGTTCAAGTCCAGGCTCTGGCTGGGCCACTCAAGGACATTCAGAGGCTTGTCCCGAAGCCACTCCTGTGTTGTCTTGGCTGTGTGCTTAGGGTCGTTGTCCTTTTGGAAGATTAACCTTCACCCCAATCTGAGGTTCTGAGTGTTCTGGAGCAGGTTTTCATCAAGGATCTCTCCGTACTTTGCGCCGTTCATCTTTCCCTCGATCCTGACTAGTCTCCCAGTCCCTGCCGCTGAAAAGCATCCCCACAGCATGATGCTGCCACTACCATGCTTCACCGCAGGGATGGTGCCAGGTTTCCTCCAGATGTGAAGCTTAGCATTCAGGCCAAAGAGTTAAATCTTGGTTTCATCAGACTAGAGAATCTTGTTTCTCATGGTCTGAGAGTCCTTTAGGTGCCTTTTGGCAAACTCCAAGATGGCTGTCATGTTCCTTTTATTGAGGAGTGGCTTCCGTCTGGCCACTCTAACATAAAGGCCTGATTGGTGGAGTGCTGCAGAGATGGTTGTCCTTCTGGAAGGTTCTGCCATCTCCACAGAGGAACTCTGGAGCTCTGTCAGAGTGTCCATCGGGTTCTTGGTCACCTCCCTGACTAAGGCCCTTCACCCCCGATTGCTCAGTTTGGCCGGGCGGCCAGCTCTAGGACGAGTCTTGGTGGTTCCAAAATTCTTCCATTTAAGAATGATGGAGGGCACTGTGTTCTTGGGGACCTTCAATGCTGCAGACATTTTTTGGTACCCTTCCCCACAACTGTGCCTTGACACAATCCTGTCTTGGAGCTCTATGGACAATTCCTTTGACCTCATGGCTTGGTTTTTGCTCTGATATACAATGTCAACTGTGGGACCTTATACAGTGGGGGAAAAAAGTATTTAGTCAGCCACCAATTGTGCAAGTTCTCCCACTTAAAAAGATGAGAGAGGCCTGTAATTTTCATCATAGGTACACGTCAACTATGACAGACAAAATGAGGAAAAAAAATCCAGAAAATCACATTGTAGGATTTTTAATGAATTTATTTGCAAATTATGGTGGAAAATAAGTATTTGGTCAATAACAAAAGTTTCTCAATACTTTGTTATATACCCTTTGTTGGCAATGACACAGGTCAAACGTTTTCTGTAAGTCTTCACAAGGTTTTCACACACTGTTGCTGGTATTTTGGCCCATTCCTCCATGCAGATCTCCTCTAGAGCAGTGATGTTTTGGGGCTGTCGCTGGGCAACACGGACTTTCAACTCCCTCCAAAGATTTTCTATGGGGTTGAGATCTGCAGACTGGCTAGGCCACTCCAGGACGTTGAAATGCTTCTTACGAAGCCACTCCTTCGTTGCCCGGGCAACGAAGGAGAAAGACCCAGCCACGTTTCATCTTCAATGCCCTTGCTGATGGAAGGAGGTTTTCACTCAAAATCTCACGATACATGGCCCCATTCATTCTTTCCTTTACACGGATCAGTCGTCCTGGTCCCTTTGCAGAAAAACAGCCCCAAAGCATGATGTTTCCACCCCCATGCTTCACAGTAGGTATGGTGTTCTTTGGATGCAACTCAGCATTCTTTGTCCTCCAAACACGACGAGTTGAGTTTTTACCAAAAAGTTCTATTTTGGTTTCATCTGACCATATGACATTCTCCCAATCCTCTTCTGGATCATCCAAATGCACTCTAGCAAACTTCAGACGGGCCTGGACATGTACTGGCTTAAGCAGGGGGACACGTCTGGCACTGCAGGATTTGAGTCCCTGGCGGCGTAGTGTGTTACTGATGGTAGGCTTTGTTACTTTGGTCCCAGCTCTCTGCAGGTCATTCACTAGGTCCCCCCGTGTGGTTCTGGGATTTTTGCTCACCGTTCTTGTGATCATTTTGACCCCACGGGGTGAGATCTTGCGTGGAGCCCCAGATCGAGGGAGATTATCAGTGGTCTTGTATGTCTTCCATTTCCTAATAATTGCTCCCACAGTTGATTTCTTCAAACCAAGCTGCTTACATATTGCAGATTCAGTCTTCCCAGCCTGGTGCAGGTCTACAATTTTGTTTCTGGTGTCCTTTGACAGCTCTTTGGTCTTGGCCATAGTGGAGTTTGGAGTGTGACTGTTTGAGGTTGTGGACAGGTGTTTTTTATACTGATAACAAGTTCAAACAGGTGCCATTAATACAGGTAAGTGTGGAGGACAGAGGAGCCTCTTAAAGAAGAAGTTACAGGTCTGTGAGAGCCAGAAATCTTGCTTGTTTGTAGGTGACCAAATACTTATTTTCCACCATAATTTGCAAATAAATTCATAAAAAAATCCTACAATGAGATTTTCTGGAGAAAGAAATTCTCATTTTGTCTGTCATAGTTGACGTGTACCTATGATGGAAATTACAGGCCTCTCTCATCTTTTTAAGTGGGAGAACTTGCACAATTGGTGGCTGATTAAATACTTTTTTCCCCCACTGTATAGACAGGTGTGTGCCTTTCCAAATTATGTCCAATCAATTGAATTTACCACCTGTGGACTCCAATCAAGTTGTAGAAACATATCAAGGATGATCAATGGAAACAGGATACACCTGAGCTCAATTTTGAGTCTCATAGCAAAGTGTCTGAATACTTATGTAAATAAGGTTTTTCTGTTTTTTATTTGTAATACATTTGCACAAAAAAATAAACCCTGTTTTCACTTTGTCATTATGGGGTATTGTGTGTAGTTTAGTCAATTTTTGAATAAGACTGTAACGTATCAAAACGTGGAAAAAGTCAAGGGGTCTGAATCCTTTTCCGAATGCATTGTCTCTCCTTCAATTACTTCTTACTCCTGCACATCGACTCGGTATTGGTACCTTGTGTATATAGCCAAGTTATCGTTATTCATTTTGTATTTATTCTTCGAGTTATTATTTTTAAAATATATTTCTTATTCTGCATTGTTGGGAAGGGCCCGTAAATAAGCATTTCACTGTTAGTCTATGCCTGTTGTTTATGAATCATGTGACATATAACATTTGATTTGAACACACACACACACACACACACACACACTTTAAACCCCCTATAACCCTTTGAGACCCCTCTTTCAAAGTCACTGAGAACTCTTCTTCTAGCCATTGTAGCCAAAATAATGGTCAACTGGGCCTTTTTATACATGACCCTAAGCATGATGGAATGTTTTAATTGCTTTATTAACTCAGGAACCACACCTGTGTGGAAGAACCTGCTTAAAATATATTGAAAGTGTTTCGTTTATTTTGGCAGTTACCTGTAGATGGCATCTATGTGAAGATTTGGCAAGCTGTTTATAATGTTACTAACCACACCGTTTCTATTTCCATGAGGGCGATATCATCACTATGACATTCATATTGCGCTTCTAACTCAAAAGACCCTGGTCCTTTCAGGTCTAATGGAAAGAACTCAGACAAAATGTTTGAATATTTCCAAGTACCCACAACAGGTCAACAACATGAATGCTGTATTGTAGTTGTCTTGTTTTCTGCTCTTTTACCAAACATGCATAGGGAATGTTGTTATGGCCCAGTGTGAAAACACAATGCTGGCAAGCAGTTAAGGCCAGCACAAATGCACCCAATTGATGCTATCTGGCCCTTTCACTGGACACAGTAATTGCAATCGATGTCTAATAAGACTTCAGGGCGGCCATTTTGGACAGTCATTTTCCAGATGCTAATTTCCAGTAACCCATGGCACCTTACTTGCTTTGCTACCCTTGCTCTGGCCAAATGCTACACCACGAACACGGACGTTTGTTTTTTCTACGCAATGAGTCTCGATCTGAGTATGAGTCTTGATCTGAGTACCACCTCGACAATTTCTAGAATGAAAATACGTTTTAGACCGTCTGATTGGTCCCAGAAACCGATGGGTTGAGCCAGAGCCAGAACACGTGGGTAAAGCAACGTTTTTAAAATGTGTCATTGCCTTTGATACTCTGATTGGTTAGAGATGATCCAGTCGCTGATGACTTTATTTTGTACAACACCCCTCCTTTTGACCTCACCATAAACGACTTCAATGATTGCAGTCTCAGACTGAATTATGTAGTGACAGTAGCGGAATAATTCAGTTTGAGTCATCAGGCAAGCATCTTTCAGGATAATAAACTAAACACGTGTATCTAAAGTAGTCTATGTAAAACACCTTGAATATGTGAGTCTACATTAATATGATGTATATTGTATGCAACAAGCCAATATAATACACAAATCCTGTATCTGTATCTGGCTATAAGTATATCCTATCTACAGCATATTATCTATCTATATGAGGCAATAGAGAGTGCAAATATGAGACATAAAGCACTGTGTCCAGTTCATTAACCAGGGGAGAGATATAGAGAGCATTGTTATAGTTTATCTTTATCACGCCTGTAAAAGATGATGGTAAAGATAACCACAGCTGTATAAATCCCACCATCGGCGAAGATCTTCTCATCTCGATGACAGCTCTAGAGGATTTGACTTGTGACTGTGACAGACGACAGTGTGGGAGTGTTATGAATGGCAAGTTGCCATCTAGGTGTTTGCTATGTAAAAAGCCAAAGTTCACACTAACAGGAAAACAGTCTGGTTTGTGTAACACATAAAGCAATGATATGGCAATAAAACACTGTGGATATCAGCTCATGTCCTTTTGATTCATTTGTGTGTCCTATCCTATGTATTGTGACTGAAATCATCTCTATCCCAACAACACAGTAAGGCAAACGTACAGTAATCTCCTCTAAAGTATTCTGATACATATCATAGTCTCCACTCTCCTGTGGCTCTCCCTGAGCCATTCATTAAAACAGCTGTTAGACCTGTTGCTAGTGCTGACACCGCTGCTAGCTCCTGAAACAAAGCCAGCTGTAAATGAAGGAAACACCTAGCGTGGGGCAAAACAGTTACGTTCATCATCCCTCCCAACCCAAGAGTTTATTAGGAAATGCCTAACGCTGTAAATAAATACAATGTGAGTTGAATTGCGGGAATTGGTAACAATGTAGACAACACTGGGAACAATGAAGTCCCCACAGGTCACTGTCAGAGACCCTGTCCACTTCCTATTCCTCAACCTGCCTTAGCCCCATCAATGGAACGTAGTAACGTACAGGGGGTTATTACCACATATGAGATGAAGACAACTGGTTTCACAAGAGGCCTGTGAGTCAAGAGGACCAGAGGATCTGTGGATAAGTGGAAGGCTAAATACTTACTGCTGATAAGACAGAATGAGCTTGAATTGAAGAACACTGGAGGCATGAATGTGAACTAGACTGACCCTCAGGCTGTGGATTGTATTTTCCTGCAAAAAACTGTTGTAATATTGTGTAATACACAATAAGATGAGAAGAGAGTGAATAAAGTGTGAATAATGATGGGATCAACCTCAGTGAGGCATACTGGGCTGTAGGAACAGCAGGACAAACCATTAACCACAGTGACTAAAGCCCTTCCCACACTGTACGTCGGATTCATTATTTTACGATTAATACATGTCACATTGTGTGATGTTACCAAATTAAAATCTTAATATCAACCTTGCCAGATTGTGTGATTTGCTTCAGTTTTGTAGTCACATTCTGTGATTGTCTTGTGAGGCTACGTCAGCCAACATAGGCTAGGTCAACTGCAGCGGTGTATTTGGTCTGCACATATGCCACCAACAGAAGCACAAGCCTCCCTCTATGCTTATGCAAGAGTGAAGTGAGTTCAGAAAAAACTCAGAATCAAATAGGCTTCCCAAAAATAACATGGTCGATGTGGTAGAACGTTTATTTTGAGGTAGCCTGATTTCAGATTTGTCATGTAAACAAGATTATTATGGAAATCGTTCTTCCTGCAAAGCATGTAATCGTTTAAATCAAACTATTATATTAATCTGACTAGTCACAATTATCGTATTATTGTGTGTATACTCAGTGCCAGTTGTGTTCCTATTGGTCAGTCAACGGGATCGGCTCGTAACACCAGCCACACTACATGATAAAAGCTCAACATTTCTGACACTGTCAGAACGTTTTCGAAGCCTACGACCGCACGTAGTGGTATTTAAATCGGCAGACCTAGACCGTCCCACTGAACGAGCCAAGATGTCTGACAATCGTTTACGACCTAAGATTTTGTCAACAACATATACAGTACCAGTCAAAGGTTTGGACACACCTACTCATTCCAGGGTTTTTCTTTATTTTTACTATTTTCTACATTGTAGAATAATAGTGAAGACACCAAAACTATGACATATAACATATATGGAATCATATAGTAAGCAAAAAAGTGTTAAACTTATTCAAATAGCCACCCTTTGCCTTGATGACAGCTTTGCACATTCTTGGCATTATCTCAACCAGCTTCATGAGGAATGCTTTTCCAACAGTCTTGAAGGAGTTCCCACATATGCTGAGCACTTGTTGGCTGCTTTTCCTTCACTCTGCTGTCCGACTCATCCCAAAACCATCTCAATTGGGTTGAGGTCGGGGGATTGTGGAGGCCAGGTCATCTGATACAGCACTCCATCACTCTCCTTCTTGGTCCAATCCATATATTTATATAATCTTATTCCATTCCTTTACTTAGATTTGTGTGTATTAGGTATTTGTTGTGGAACTGTTAGATATTACTTGCTAGATATTGCTGCGCTGTCGGAACTAGAAACACAAACATTTTGCTACACTCGCAATAACATCTGCTAACCATGTGTATGTGACCAATACATTTTATTTTATTTATATTTGAAATAAGCAAAGAAAAACGACAGTCCATCATTACTTCAAGAAATGAAGGTCAATACGGAAAATTTCTAGAACTTTTAAAGTTTCTTCAAGTGCAGTCCCAAAAACCATCAAGCGCAATGATGAATCAGGCTGTCATGAGGACCGCCACAGGAAAGGAAGACCCAGAGTTACCTCTGCTGCAGAGGATAAATTCATTACAGTTAACTGCACCTCAGATTGCAGCCCAAATAAATGCTTCACAGAGTTCAAGTAACAGACACATCTCAACATCAACTGTTCAGAAGAGATTGCGTGAATCAGGCCTTCATGGTCGATTTGCTGCAAAGAAACCACTACTAAAGGACACCAATAAGAAGAAGAGACTTGCTTGGGCCAAGAAACACGAGCAATGGACATTAGACCGATGGAAATGTGTCTTTTGGTCTGATGAGTCCAAATTTGAGATTTTTGGTTCCAACCACCGTGTTGTTGTGAGACGCAGAGTAGGTGAACGGATGATCTCCACATGTGTGGTTCCCACCGTGAAGCATGGAGGAGGAGGTGTGATGGAGTGGGGGTGTTTTGCTGGTGACAATGTCTGTGATTTATTTAGAATTTAAGGCACACTTAACCAGCATGGCTACCACAGCATTCTGCAGCGATTCGCCATCCCATCTGATTTGGGCTTGTGGGACTATCATTTGTTTTTCAATAGGACAATGACTCAAAACACACCTGCAGGCTGTGTAAGGGCTATTTGACCAAGAAGGAGAGTGGAGTGGAGTGTTGCATCAGATGACCTTGCATCCACAATCACCCGACCTCAACCCAATTGAGATGATTTGGGATGAGTTGGACCGCAGAGTGAAGGAAAAGCAGCCAACAAGTGCTCAGCATATGTGGGAACTCCTTCAAGACTGTTGGAAAAGCATTCTTCATGAAGTTGGTTTAGAAAATGCAAAGAGTGTGCAAAGCTGTCATCAAGGCAAAGGGTGGCTACTTTGAAGAATCTCAAATATAAAATATATTTTGATTTGTTCAACACTTTTTTGGTTTCTACATGATTCCATATGTGTTATTTCATAGTTTTGATGTCTTCACTATTATTCTACAATGTAGAAAATCGTAAAAAATTAAGAAAAACGCTTGAATGAGTAGGTGTGTCCAAATCGTGGCATAAAACGGAATAAATCGTACAGTCTGTGCGGGCCTTTACAGTTTTTCTCAATTGCTAAAACACTAAACCCTATTGTCTGAACCAAATGCTCAGTTGCCTGAACCCACTGATTGAATCAATCACTCTTTTGGCAAAACCATAAGCACTTTTCACCTGTTTAGACATAACTTGCCAACACATTTTCATTGTGATGCACCCGTGCTGCATAAGGGTGAGCACAGGTGACAAAAGTCAAACACAATTAGAGCACAGGTGTCACCACTTGAACACAACAACTCAAAATTGATCACACTTGTGGCTAATGATGTGAGGGAACATATACAGTAAGCCAGTTCAGAGAGCACTGGTTTGTGAGGCCCTACAATAGATAGAAATCTGAGAGGAAGAGTTCGTGTGAGAGGAGGTCGAGGTGGTCGAGGTGGTCAGCGAAGACAAAGAACAGTAATATCTGATGAAATCAGAGCTACTGTGATTGACCATGTTCTTGTCCATGGTATGAGCATGAGGGAGGCTGGACAAAGGGTACAACCAAACATCAGTAGATTCACTGTGTCCACCATAATCCGAAGATTTAGAGAAGAGAACAGGTAACCTTTTTTTGACATTATAGTACAGTATGTAAATGTTGACAGCAATTACTGAATGACATACTATATACTGTACCACAGTATACTGTAAGTAAATATATGTTTCAGTACATCACTGTACCAATGTACTGTAGTATTGTAATGGAGGGTTGGTCTAACTGTTTGTAGGCCTAGTATTCCATGTATATTTTTTGTAACTCCATGTTCTCTTTTTGTAGAATTGAAAGACTGCCACATGGGGGTGGGAGGACAGGTATGTTCTCCCCACACCAAGAGACCCTAATTGTTGATATGGTCCGTGAGAACAATGCCATTAAACTGAGCGAAAATCAGCAGAAGATCATTGAGGACCATTTACATTTTACTGACAACAGTGTCAGCCTCTCTACTGTTGATCGTGTCCTCAAGCGCAACAGACTGCGCATGAAACAGCTATACAGAGTGCCCTTTGATCGCAACTCAGACAGAGTCAAAGAGCAAAGATTCCAGTGTGTACAGGTTGGCATATATCCAGACACATTCAATGTTGATTACTCTAAGTAGTGATTTACTGTAGTGGCCTAAATCACTTTTTCCGTATCACTTACAAAACTATATCTATTTCTACAGAGGGTTTTTCAACTGGATGCAATGGAAAGACCCCATCAATACATCTACATGGATGAAGCTGGGTTTAATCTCACCAAAAGGAGAAGGAGAGGCCGTAATGTGATTGGCCATCAGGCCATTGTTGGTGTTCCTGGGCAGCGTGGTGGCAATGTCACATTATGTGCTGCCATCAGCAATCATGGGGTTGTCCACCATCATGCCAACCTGGGGCCCTACAACACTCACCAGCTCCTCATTTTCCTCAATCACATGCGAGATGCTTTGTTAGGGCAGCAGGATGAGCATCCCATCTATGTTGTTGTTTGGGACAATGTGAGTTTTCACAGAGCCCTCCAGGTTAGAGAGTGGTACAATATGAACCAAGGTTTTATCAATCATTGCCTTCCACCGTACTCCCCTTTCCTAAACCCCATTGAGGAATTCTTCTTCTCATGGCGGTGGAAGGTATATGAACGCCAACCTTACACCAGGGTAAATCTCCTGCAAGCTATGGGACTTGCCTGTGGTGACATAGGTGTGGAGGCATGCCAAGCCTGGATACGGCATGCCAGGGGTTTTTTCCCCCGTTGCCTGGCCAGACAAAATGTGGCCTGTGATGTGGATGAAGTCCTGTGGCCTGACCCAGTACGGAGACATGATGCTGTGGCTGAGTAATGCACTTATTTGTATATTTTTGTACTTTATTTTTTACATGGGCTTACTGTACACAAGTGGCAAACGCATAAGATTTCTGTTTGTTTTTACAAGTGCTACATGTAAATGCACAAGATTTCTGTTTTGTATTTTTGTACAAGTGCTAAATGCACAGCTTTTTTTTGTTTTGCAACATGCATTTAGCCTACAGTGAACAATAAACATTTATTTCTCCAGCTTCATGTCCTGAGCATTGTGTTTTCTATTTTTCTACGTAGTGTTTAGTGACTGTTCAGTAGTGTTTTTTATTTGATTGACTCGGGGCACGATTTGACAACATAGTTCAGTTTTGAGCACAGATTGAACTGTTTTGAGGTGAAAGTTTGGTTTTGCAAGAAGAGTCTGAGGTTTTGTGAATGTAGCTTGCAAATTGGGTTTTGTGTTCACAGTTAAGAGAAAAGAGAAAAGGAGAGCAGCTTTCAAGAAATGTGTCTTAGCAATCGAGAAAAACTGTAAGCACCCGCCACCCCTTCCTCTCTCTCCCTCTCTGTCTGAATAATTTTTTACCTCACACTTCTTCAACGTGTCACTTACTGTTCAGTCATTGGCATGGCAACATATTTTTGTGTTTCCTCTGCGGTGATAACAGGGTCCTTTTGAGATTCACTCCAGAGAACGATGGCTGTCTCATTTCTCTCTGTGGGGAGACAACAGTGACCCACACTACGAGAGAGAGAGAGAGAGAGAGAGAGAGAGAGAGAGAGAGAGAGAGAGAGAGAGAGAGAGAGAGAGAGAGAGAGAGAGGAAGGACGAGAGGAGAAGCTGAGAAGAGAGAGAGAGAGAGAGAGAGAGAGAGAGAGAGAGAGAGAGGAGAGAAAACAGAAACAGAGACAAACAAAGACAGACAGAGACAAAGGAAGTCCTGAGCTGTCTGTAGAGGGAGAGGGAGTGCATTCTCAAAAATTTTACCAAAAGCCCAACAAATCCAACTTAGTTCTGTCCTGGCTCTCCACATGGCATAAGTGTGAGTAGAACAGGAGCACAGGAGGTTAACTTGTGTGTGGCAGGCAAGCCTAATCCCAAAATTACACAGACTGTTGAGTCATCAGGTACACACCCAGTAAGTGTTTCCTCTACTCTCATGGGTTTACTCAATATGGCACACGTACACACACACACACACAGTCAGACCCATGGTCGGTTCTGCTTGTGGTAAAGGCCTGGCCAACTAATGACACTTCCTCAGCATTGCTCTCCCGCGACGTGCCTTTTTTTCCCTGAGAGCAGCGCATTGAGAGGAATGTGGCTAGACGCGATCGCAAGATGTCCATGTATGTACAGAGCGATGAGAAAGCTGGTTCCACCATTCATTAAAGTATGAGGTCAAAGACTCTGGTGAGGATGAACTGTAAGTTAGAGTTGGACTAGTGGACTATACCTCTGTCACACTGTCAGTAGTGGATAGGCAGTTGATATTACCCCTAGTGGCGATTAAAACAGGCTACTCATTACCAGGATACTCATTAAACAGGTATTAGTTAATCAATTGGTTGGAATAAGGAAGGATGAAATAGCCAAGCCTCAGTGAACTCAACTCTTGAAGATACCATGAAGAGCTCTGATTCTGTGAAGTCTAAAAACCGTCAAACCTATAACTGTCAAACATTGTGCTGTCCTTATCATCTGATCTGTCTTTTCACTTTCTGGTAAAGATGTGAGCTCTAAGGACGATAGTGAAGAAATGGAATCATGGTGGTTGCAGTGGTGCAGTTTCCTGTGGGGTTTGGTTAACCTTTCTCTGCAACCACAAAAACATAATGTGATGTTTACACCCTAAACCAGAATGGTGTGTGAGTGTGTCTCTGTGTCTCTTTGTGTGTACTTGCATACCTCTGTGTGTGTGTGTGTGTGTGTGTGTGTGTGTGCGTGTGATTGTGTGTACCTCTGTTTGTGTTAAGAGGATCAAACGGGTCAGCCCTACCTCACCCCTGCTCAGTTGACGCAGCAGCGTCAGAGCCTGAATGAAGCAGCCAGGCTCGGCCGGGCCAGGCATCATGGGAGCATAACTGGGCTGCTTCAAAAGGAATGGCTTTGCGCTACAATAACAGTGAGAGCGAGGGGCTTGGTTGGTGTTTGGGTGACGGGATGGTTCGGGCAGCCAGGTGTTTGGATAGTGACGGTGTCAGAGTCTACTGTATGGACAGCTGGAATGTCCCTGTGTCATTCACCTCTGGGTCATACATAATATAGTCAGAGGAAAACAAAGATAGCCATATTCTGTTACACCCCTATTTGTTGCAAATAGGTGAACCAATCTCAACAATATTTGGGCACGAAGTGCATTCGACAGGGTCACACGCAGTCATACTCATCACTAGGGCGAAATGGAATCTCCACAGAATTCTTGTAGTTTAAATGGGTTTTCCGTTACAGTGAGTCATGACCTGAAAGCCCACAGGTGCAGTGATATAGCACATAAATGCCACTGTGCATCTGGTGCCACCAAACCAGAACCGCTCTCATCCACTACCAATGAAAAATAGAAATTGTATGCTTATTCCAAGAAATGAATAAGAAGGTACACACCAATATAGAAAGATGGGAAGAAAGTAAAGGGAAAGAGGTTTATTTTAGCACAGTTTCAGTACATCCCCATTAGAACGAGTGATTCAATAGAAGGGAGCAGAAATAGTGAGGGAACGAGGGGAGGGCAGAGGAAATCCTGTCGACAATGGTTAAATAAACTTGAATGTGAGACATTGTGGATGGTACCAAGTCTGGTGATCATTCACAAAGCCTGCTCACCCAGAGCAGAGCGTGTGTGTGTGTGTGTGTGTGCGCATGTATGTTTTGAAGTGTTTAACTATACTTGTGGGGACCAGAAGTCCCCACAAGAATAGTAAACAAACAACAATTTGACCAACTGGGAACATTTTGCTTGTCCCCACAAGGTCAAATGCTATTTCTAGGGGGTTTAGGGTTAAGGTTAGAATTAGTGTTAGGGTTAGGATTAGGTTAGGTTAGGAGCAAGTGTTAGTTTTAAGGTTAGCAGCTATAGTTTGGGTTATGGTAAGGGTTAGAGTTAGGGTTAGGTTTAAGTTTAGAGTTAGGGTTTAGGGAAAATAGGATTTTGAATGGGACTGAATTGTGTGTCCCCACAAGGTTAGTTGTACAAGACTGTGTGTGTGTGTGTGTGTGTGTGTGTGTGTGTGTGTGTGTGTGTGTGTGACATAGCAAACTGGCCACAAGAGACGTCTAAGCAAACAATTTTTACAAAATGCACTACCAGTCAAGTTTGGACACACCTTCTCATTCAAGGGTTTTTCTTTATTTTCACTATTTTTTACATTGTAAAACAATAGTGAAGACATCAACACTATGAAATAACACATATGGAATCATGTAGTAATCAAACAAGTGTTAAACAAATCAAAATATATCTTATATTTGAGATTCTTCAAATAGCCATCCTTTTCCTTGATGACAGCTTTGCACACTCTTGGCATTCTCTCAACCAGCTTCATGAGGTAGTCACCTGGAATGCATTTCAATTAACAGGTGTGCCTTCCTAAAAGTTAATTTGTGGAATTTCTTTCCTTCTTAATGCGTTTGAGCCAATCAGTTGTGTTGTGACAAGGTAGGGGTGGAATACAGAAGATAGCCCTATTTGGTAAAAGACCAAGTCCATATTATGGCAAGAATAGCTCAAATATGGTCAGCCAATGCGGAACATTTCAATAACTTTGAAAGTTTCTTCAAGTGCAGTCGCAAAAACCATCACGAGCTATGATGAAACTGTCTCTCATGAGGACCACCACAGGAAAGGAAGACCCAGAGTTACCTCTGCTGCAGAGGATAAGTTCAATAGAGTTACCAGCCTCAGAAATTGTATTCCAAATAAATGCTTCACAGAGTTCAAGTTACAGACACATCTCAACATCAACTATTCAGAGGAGACTGTGAATCAGGCCTTCATGATTGAATTGCTGCAAAGAAACCACTTCTAAAGGACACCAATAATAATAAGAGACTTTCTTGGGCCAAGAAACATGAGCAATGGACATTAGACTGGTGGAAATATGTCCTTTGGTCTGGAGTCCAAATTTGAGATTTTTGGTTCCAACCGCCGTGTCTTTGCGAGACGCGGTGTGGGTGAACGGATGATCTCCGCACGTGTATTTCCCACCGTAAAGCATGGAGGAAGAGGTGTTAAGGTGTGGGGGTGCTTTGCTGGTGACACTGTCTGTGATTTATTTAGAATTCAAGGCATACTTAACCAGCATGGCTACCACAGCATTCTGCAGCGATACGCCATCCCATCTAGTTTGGGCTTAGTGGGACTATCATTTGTTTTTCATCAGGACAATGACCCAACACACCTCCAGGCTGTGTAAGGGCTATTTTACTAAGAAGGAGAGTGATGTAGTTCTGCATCAGATGACCTCAACCCAATTGAGATGGTTTGGGATGAGTCGGACCTCAGAGTGAAGGAAAAGCAGCCAACAAGTGCTCAGCATATGTGGGAACTCCTTCAAGACTGTTGGAAAAGCATTCCAGGTGAAGGGTAGCTATTTGAAGCCTTTTTTGGTTACTACATGATTCCATATGTGTTATTTCATAGTTTTGATGTCTTCACTATTATTCTACATTTACATTTACGTCATTTAGCAGACGCTCTTATCCAGAGCGACTTACACATTGGTGCATTCACCTTATAGCCAGTGGGATAACCACTTTACAATGTTTTTTTAGTTTTGTTTGTTTTTTGGGGGGGTGGGGCAAGGGGGGGGGGGGGGGGTAGAAGGATTACTTTATCCTATCCCAGGTATTCCTTAAAGAGGTGGGGTTTCAAATGTCTACGGAAGGTGGTGAGTGACTCCGCTGTCCTGGCGTCGAGAGGGAGCTTGTTCCACCATTGGGGTGCCAGAGCAGCGAACAGTTTTGACTGGGCTGAGCGGGAACTGTGCTTCCGCAGAGGTAGGGGAGCCAGCAGGCCAGAGGAGGATGAACGCAATGCCCTCGTTTGGGTGTAGGGACTAATCAGAGCCTGAAGGTACGGAGGTGCCGTTCCCCTCACAGCTCCATAGGCAAGCACCATGGTCTTGTAGCAGATGCGAGCTTCAACTGGAAGCCAGTGGAGTGTGCGGAGGAGCGGGGTGACGTGAGAGAACTTGGGAAGGTTGAACACCAGACGGGCTGCGGCATTCTGGATGAGTTGTAGGGGTTTAATGGCACAGGCAGGGAGCCCAGCCAACAGCGAGTTGCAGTAATCTAATCGGGAGATGACAAGTGCCTGGATTAGGACCTGTGCCGCTTCCTGTGTAAGGCAGGGTCGTACTCTCCGAATGTTGTAGAGCATGAACCTACAGGATCGGGTCACCGCCTTGATGTTAGCGGAGAACGACAGGGTGTTGTCCAGGGTCACACCAAGGCTCTTCGCACTCTGGGAGGAGGACACAACGGAGTTGTCAACCGTGATGGCGAGATCATGGAACGGGCAGTCCTTCCCCGGGAGGAAGAGCAGCTCCGTCTTGCCAAGGTTCAGCTTGAGGTGGTGATCCGTCATCCATACTGATATGTCTGCCAGACATGCAGAGATGCGATTCGCCACCTGGTTATCAGAAGGGGGAAAGGAGAAGATTAGTTGTGTGTCGTCTGCGTAGCAATGATAGGAGAGGCCATGTGAGGATATGACAGAGCCAAGTTACTTGGTGTATAGCGAGAATAGGAGAGGGCCTAGAACTGAGCCCTGGGGGACACCAGTGGTGAGAGCACGTGGTGCGGAGACAGCTTCTCGCCACGCCACTTGGTAGGAGCGACCGGTCAGGTAGGACGCAATCCAAGAGTGAGCCGCGCCGGAGATGCCCAGCTCGGAGAGGGTGGAGAGGAGGATCTGATGGTTCACAGTATCAAAGGCAGCAGACAGGTCTAGAAGGACAAGAGCAGGGGAGAGAGAGTTAGCTTTAGCAGTGCGGAGAGCCTCCGTGACACAGAGAAGATCAGTCTCAGTTGAATGACCAGTCTTGAAACCTGACTGGTTTGGATCAAGAAGGTCATTCTGAGAGAGATGGCAAGAGAGTTGGCTAAAGACAGCACACTCAATAGTTTTGGAGATAAAAGAAAGAAGGGATACTGGTCTGTAGTTGTTGACATCAGGTTTTTTGAGAAGGAGTGCAACTCTCGCTCTCTTGAAGACGGAAGGGATATAGCCAGCGGTCAAGGATGAGTTGATCAGCGAGGTGAGGTAAGGGAGAAGGTCACCGGAGATGGTCGAGAGAAGAGAGGACGGGATAGGGGGGGGGGGGGGGGTAGGGGGAGGAGGATTCAGCAGGGAGGAGAAGGTGGCAAAGAGCTTCCTAGGGTTAGATGCAGATGCTTGGAATTTAGAGTGGTAGAAAGTGGCCTTAGCAGCAGAAACAGATGAAGAAAATGTAGAGAGGAGGGAGTGAAAAGATGCCAGGTCCGCAGGGAGTCTAGTTTTCCTCCATTTCCGCTCGGCTGCCCGGAGCCCTGTTCTGTGAGCTCGCAATGAGTCATCAAGCCACGGAGCTGGAGGAGAGGACCGAGCCGGCCGGGAGGATAGGGGACATAGAGAGTCAAAGGATGCAGAAAGGGAGGAGAGGAGGGTTGAGGAGTTAGAATCAGGGGATTGGAGGGAGAAGGATTGAGCAGAGGGAGGAGATGATAGGATGGAAGAGGAGAGAGTAGCGGGAGAGAGAGAGTGAAGGTTGCGACGTCGCATTACCATCTGAGTAGGGGCAGAGTGAGTAGTATTGGAGGAGAGCGAGAGAGAAAAGGATACAAAGTAGTGGTCGAAGACATGGAGGGGAGTTGCAGTGAGATTAGTAGAAGAACAGCATCTAGTAAAGATGAGGTCAAGCGTATTGCCTGCCTTGTGAGTAGGGGGGAACGGTGAGAGGGTGAGGTCAAAAGAGGAGAGGAGTGGAAAGAAGGAGGAAATGAGTCAAAGGTAGACGTAGGGAGGTTGAAGTCCCCCAGAACTGTGAGGGGTGAGCCATCTCAGGAAAGGAACTTATCAAGGCGTCAAGCTCATTGATGAACTCTCCAAGGGAACCTGGAGGGCGATAAATGACAA